TAAGCTTGCTTGGCTTTTTCAAATATGGTGCCAAACATTTTTACAATGTTCAGTTGCTGAGGTGCCTCGTGTATACTTTTTCTAATTTTGTCTGATTAACTATGTCAATGCCAAGGAGTTTTACAGTTGAATCATATGAAAGTTCAGCATTTTTATTATTTCGTTATACACCCATTTTTCTTAACTGCGAAATTTAAAATTTGTCACGGTTACTCTGCATTTTCTTTATTTTGAACCATTCAATAAGTTTTGATTTTTTTCTAATTCTAACTGGGCGTAGAAGGTAAAACATCATATTCCGAAGGGTTGTTGTCTCCGGCAGTCCGACTTATTCCATATTCATTTCATTGACAAAACCGGCAGAGTTGATTACTGGATCCCAGTATAAACCAGCGTTTGCCTTTTACAAGCACATGCAGAGGAGAGATTACAATAAGTCTAATGCCCACAGGAGAGCACCTGCACCATTGAGACAATGTGTGCCAACATATCTTCAATAAGATTGAGGATTGAGGATTTCTCCCACGTTATTGAATTTCAAAGGCGGGGTTATAATAATTTTTCAAGTCAAGTTAGGGAATTGAGTTTCTTCATTAGTCTTTTGAAACTTCACGTGTAAGGGCAACAATATTTGGTTCATAGGTTTTTGAAATAACTAAGTCGGATATGTATAGTAGATTATGTCATTTAGATTAAACAATATTTTATTTTTCAAAAGTGCACAAATTACAATTATACAATAGAAATAAAGGGATTCGGAAACAAGAAGAACTTACATATTTTCACGGCTACATGTGAGACCACAATTAGAAATGAGTTGATCATTGATTGAACTGACTTCTGAGTAACGGGCAAACAACAGAATAAACATATAATGTAAATTGAAAATTAAATTATAGCGGTTCCCATTGTTGTCATTTTGTTAAGGGAGACGGATCAACTCATTTCTAATTGTGGTCTCACATATAGCCGTGAAAATATGTAAATTTTTCAAACAATAAAGTTATATTATAAAGTTTCAACATCTTAATCGACATAAAAATAAAAGTTTATTAACCAAATCTCCATGTTTCCAAAATAAAACTTTGTACAACTTTAAATATATTTTCGTTTTCCTCACCACTGATGAGTTCACTACCTGATAATAATGTTTGTATATTAACATATCTTGGTTGTGGAAATGGTTTATGTCCTAATGAGTCTACAATTATGACATTCTAGCAGATAGTGTATGCTGCTCTCAACTTGTCCACATATACAGAGGCTGGAAAGAACAATATTTTCTGGAAAATGTGTCCATTTAAGCCACTGCAGTTCAACCCGGAGTCTGGCGTGAAGTATTTGGCCTTTTCTACAACCAGTATTATAATGTGGAGGGACATTATTAATATCACGATTTAAATAATTTTTAAGTGTGATTTTTGATGGATTACATCTTACATCTTGTGAAAGGCTGTTCCATTCACGAATAACAGATGGTAGGAATGAATTTTGATAAGAAGAAGTTCTATAGTTTATGTTTTGAACATTATAAATGCCCTTCTAGTATTATAGTTATAAACTTGGCAAAGTTGTTGAGGTACGAGACTACAAAGATAATCAGGAGCTTGATCATGAAACATTTTGTGAAATTTGATAATTTTATGTCTGGATCTTCTTTCACTAAGAGGTACCCAGCCAGTATCATATAAAGTTTAGTTTTAGAACAAAGTTCGGTGGCTCCTGTGGCTTCTATTTGGTTGCTTTCTGCTTTGTCCTTCAAATAAGTTGATATGTTATCCCAAACAGTATCCGCAAATTCGAGAATAGTCCTGATGAAACTGATATAAATAATTTGCAGATGATTACGCGATAACTTAAACTTTAAGTTCCTCATAAGATTTAAGCGCGGCGTAGCTTTATCAATAATATAATTTACACGACTTTCCCAACGGCCGTTTTCTTGAAAAAATAACCCTCAATGTTTATGTTTTTCAACCTCTTGTATAAGCGTATCATTCATATATATTGGTGGATTATAGGGTTTTGCTGTTTTTCTAGATATGTCATGGTTTCGGTTTTTTTATACGACCGCAAAAAAATTTTGTGGTCGCATTAGTATGACGTTGGCGTCGTCGTCGTCCGGCGTCGTCGTCGTCGTCATCGTCCGAAGACACATTGGTTTTCGCACTCTAACTTTAGTTTAAGTGAATGGATCTCTATGAAATTTTATCATAAGGTTCAATACCACAAAAGGAAGGTTGGGATTGCTTTTGGGGGTTATGGTACCAACAGTTAAGGAATTAGGGGCCAACAATAAGCATTTTTGTAACTTCCAGACATAACGTGTGTGTAAGTGTATGGATCTCTCTGACATTGTACCACAATGTTCCATATCACAAAGGGAATGATGGGATTGATTTTGGCGGTAATTGCCTCAAAATTTTAGGAATTAGGGGCCAAAAAAGGGGAAAAAAACAAGCATTTTTCTTGTTTCATGACAATAACTTGTATGTAAGTGTATGGATCTTTCTGAAATTGTACTACAAGGTTCAATATCACAAAGGGAAAGCTGAGTTTGAGTTTGGGGGTAATTGCCTTAAACATTTGGTAATTTGGGGCCAAAAAGGGGCCTAAAAACAAGCATTTTTCTTGTTTCCAGACAATAACTTGTGTTCAAGTGTATGGATCTCTCTGAAATTGTACGGCAAGGTACCATACCACAAGGGGAAGGCTGGGATTCAGTTTGGGGGTGATGAATCATAAGGGGGTTCAAAAAATTTTGGGGAGGGATTTTTTTTTCCTTTTTTTCCTTTTTTTCCTTTTTTTCCTTTTTTTTCCTTTTTTTTTCTTTAAAATTTTCCGTTTTAAATTGGTTATTTCTGATTTATATATAAAAGCAAATAATAATGATATGGTTTGAATAGGTAAATTAAAAAAAATTAAGTTCTTAGACCACATTCATTCTGTGTCAGAAACCTATGCTGTGTCAAATATTTAATCACAATCCAAATTCAGTGCTGTATCAAGCTTGAATGTTGTGTCAAAACTTTCCCCAACTGTTCAGGGTTCGACCTCTGCGATCGTATCAAGCTGCGCCCAGCGGAGCATTTTATCTTCGATTAGTTAACGAGACCATAAGTGATTTTTTTCTATATCAGAGTTCATTTATTCAGCCGTAGCATACTCGTCCTCAACAACTATATATAATGATGTATCGTCAGCGAATAGTCTAATGTTGCATGATATGTCACATACAATATCATTTATAAATAATAAAAATAATACCGGGCCTAAATTTGAGCCCTGAGGGACACCGGCTTTAATACTATAAACATCAGAGGTCTGTCCTCCTATAACAACTTTTTGTCTTCTCTCGGATAAATAACTTTTGAACCATTTTAGGAGGTCCCCTCTTATTCCATATTTTTCTAGTTTACGAAGGAGGCCTTCATGCCAGACCCGGCCGAACGCTTTACTGATATCACAAAACACAACTCTGATTTCCTTTCCAGAGTCATTATGCCATTTGAATGCTCCGGTGGTATTGTACAGTTTATTGTCTCAGATATTATACATTTTGTGTAATTCATTGTTGAACTTGAAGCTGACCGTTGTAGATTTTATTTGACAATACCATTATATTTGACTATATCATCACATCATCTTATTTTTATAAACTCAAAGACATCTATAAAAGAGGGATCAGAACACTAATGATATCCGTCCGATGGTAATACAAGACTAACACTGAAAGACAGATGTTTTTAATTGGTATCTGGTTGTTCCATCTCAAAATTTTCCCCGAAGAGACATCAATGAACTTTATGCGTAACCCCTTCATGAAATTCCCAAGTTCCACTCATATTCCAATGTTCGATCATACATTTAGGATACATGACCAACGGCTCGATTTGAATAATATGCTGTAAGTATTTATTTATTTGCAATGTAACAGCATGTTTTCTTTTGGTTTTAAATACGATTTTCGCTCTTTAGAATTAAAAGCAATTTTCCGTAAATTATCGATGATTGTTTCTGTATGTAAATTTAAAAAACTTCATTCTTGGAAGCTATTTTAAGGCTGATGGTTTATTTACAATATGTCAGGAAGTATAAAATCTTTATTATTAAAAAATGAAAATATCACTTTATAAATTTTGAATGCCCTACGCGATTTTTTTCTGGATTTGCCGACTTCCCCAGGAAGACTCAAGCAAACCCCCAAAACTATTAAATCGATGGATGTATAATTACTTGAATACGTGATGGATGAGCGTATGACCAACAGAGACTAGTAAATATGATAGCCAAATCCACCAAAGGTCAACTTTGCCCTGAGGGAGCTGGAACCTTAGTTCCTTACTGGTTATTTTTCGGAATTTATCAACGTCGAGTTTATGAGAGGTATGTCAACATTCACGCTTAAAATTTCAATTTCTTCTGATTTCCAGGTGTAATTTTCTATCTCAGTTTAAGGATCGAGTCTGTGCTGTCCTCGAATTTTAGCTTTTCAGCGTTTTTTATATTATCTATTTGGACCAGTCAGCGTGAATTGCTGCCTAGCTATCTCTTGTATTTACGTTCCCCTATTTTCGGAATGTGACTTTGTTAATCTGGTTTTCACCCGGCCTCTTTAAATCTCAAGTTACTTTTGTTACTTTTTCTTTACTTTTGATTGAGTTCCTTGGAAACTTTTTTTTTTAATTTTTAATGTTGTCAAAGGTATAACTGTGTGACTATTTATCACTCAGTCACAAAATTGAAATGATCCCTTCTAATGACTTTTTGTAAGTAAGAACTTTCTATAAACAAACGTCTTTCAGTTTCAAGTAGTATTTTCCATTGAATTTGTCACAAACCAGGTGGGATAAACAAAATTCATCGCCTGAAAAGCAATTTTCACCTACAACAAGGAAATTACCTGTACATTTTGGCTGTCACGGATTGGCTTGTCTTCTCGCCAAAATTATTTTTAGTTGTTGTTTACGACAGGGATTTACCTTTTGACGTCATTTCTTATTTACAATGAGAACTTCGACTTATAACAGTTTTGTTCTAATAGAGGAATGATGTACAGGTTTTTAGTTAAATTTTCATTTTTACTGATTTTGTCACTTGTAAGTATTGATACAAACAGAAATTAGATAAAACGGACATTAATACATAGTAAAATAAATGAAATAAAGGTATTTGTTGTATTAGTATTTCTTAAACGGCATTTTAAATTGAAACATATGCTAAATCTTTTAGAAGTTCTGATATACGTCTACTTCATTTTCGCCTGCTCTTAACACTGTACAGTTTTAGTTGACCTAATACAATATGTGTAGATTTGGGATTTGGGTGTAGTTTAAAAAAATATATATACTTTTCAATTTTCAGTTTGTTTTGTCAACCAGCGCTAGTGATGGACTAAACTTTTGGGATGCGATGAAACAGCTTGATGAGATGAATCGGGAAATTTTACAGCAAAGATCCTTTCACCAAAAAGATACTGTAAAAAAAGTTTCATCCACAACGCTGTTACAAGAACCAAACACACTACATTCAACAACTCTCGGCTTTGACGATAAAGTTACAACGAGTGAGACGGCTACAGTTCATGACAAATCACAAACGGAAAAAGTAAGCGCACGCCCGACTACAGAACATGGGACTCATGGGCCAAAAATTATTAGACAGAGTGAAGCAATGAAACCTACTACCAGCATAGAGTCTTCTAGTTTGTCACATTTAACGTTTAGTACGGACTCCAAATTGAAACCAAATATTTCAAGTACCCATACTAATTCAGTGCATAATACTAACGCGAAAAAGTTAACTTTTACCGTCATGGATGAACAATTTTCTCGTGATATATTGCTGTATGCGGGTGTTGCATGTGGTTCGGTTTTAGCATGTATTTGTATTTTAATACTGGTGATACTTCGTCGCAAAAGAAGAGAAAGTCACAAAGAAAAACATTTAGAAAAAAGATTTTCTGCAACAGATCAAAGAACGTACAAGGACACTAAGATTTTTGTGATGAGCAAAACAGAACAGGGAAACAGTATTATAAATTCTTTCGACGCAATACCAACTGATACTAATTTGTGGAAAGAATTACAGAGTAGCACACCTAACGTTTTTTGATATGGAGGGATTTAAGTTATACTGTCGTTCAAAGTGAAGAAAAAAGAATATGCCATATAATCGTTCTTTTATAGCTTTCTAAACGGTATTGGTTTTGCTCATTATTGAAGACCGTACGGTGACCTATAGTTGTTTATATCCTAGTCACCCGTCACTGATGGATAGTTGTCTAATTGGAAATCATACCACATTTCATTATTATTGTCATGGTCAATACTGCAGAAGTTTATTTAAATATATACAATACGTCTACAAACTATATATATATACACGACAAACGGTAATGATAAAATACATTTTATATCAACTTTACGTTTAACGAAAGTATTAGCTTTCCGTTGCGTGTTTACATTTTTTACATGATTTCTATATTTTGTGTGGTAGGATGAGACCAATTTTACAGGCTGATCTTAGTTTTATTCTTACTCAAAGCAAATAAGTGTGATGTTAGAAAATCATGTAGGCCCCTAAATCCTTACTTATTTTTATGTTTGTTGGTTTAATCCATGTTATAATATCTTACTCGATATTGTATTGTGAATGTGTACTGAAATGTTTTTATTGGCTGTTTTATGTGATTTTATTACAATTGTTATCAATATAAAAGTTTACATTAAATGTTAAAAACCCTGTTTATTTTTAGAATAAAATGTTTTACCTGTTTTTAATGTTCGTCTTACGTATATTTACCGGAATTCCTGGAAGAAAAGAGCTCCAGAGATTCATAGATCCTGCATGCGTGGGCAGTACCTTGTCATGCATTTCTTCATTTTTATTCTTTTTAAAATCCTGTCATGACAGTCGCTTCACATTTGAATGCAATTAAAATTGGGCTGTAACTACTGTGACGTAACCTTTGACGTAAATTAAAATAGGGACGAAAGATACCAGAGGGACAGTCAAACTCATAGATCGAAAACAAACTGACAACGCCATGGCCAAAAATAAATAGACAAACAGACAAATAATAGTACAGATGACACAACATAGAAAACTAAAGACTAAGCAACACGAACCCCACCAAAAACTGGGGGTGATCTCAGGTGCTCCGGAAGGGTAAGCAGATCCTGTCCACATGTGGCACCCGTCGTGTTGCTTATGTTATTACAAATCCGGTAAATAGTCTAATTCGGTAAGTCACATTCGTGAAAAGGGAAGGGTATTGTAGTTATGACATAAGGAACATATCCGATATCATCTGTGAAACGGTTATTCCATAACGGTCAACCAACTCGTGATGGCGTCCGTAAAATTTACGAAGGGATGATTTCAACTTAAACTGTTTCTAAATCATCGACAACTACATTGTGTAAAGCCTTGTTCCTTTTCCTTTTCACATAAGTAATGTTTTGCATTATCCTTTATACACTGCATTTGCCTTTGTTCAGTTGCTGCTTTAAAAATTTATCTCAACGGAATAAAATCTAACGCTTCTTTTACAGGTTGATGGATGGTTCGTCATTTCGGGCGTATGGTCCGTCCTTCAAGTTTGGTCGAAATTTTGTTCAGGTCCATTTGAAGTTGCTCTGAATAAAATTACTTCTAATGATGTATGACATATAATGGAATAAAAGCTGTTAATGTGTCTTTTTATGAAGTTTCCTCAAAAATGTTTTTTGTATAATATCTATATCTACTTTTAATAAGTTAAATATATCACTGTTTCTTTAGGTGTATGCTCCTATATTTTTTCCGTTTACGAGATAACCGCATGTAATATTAGATAAGTCAGTGTGCTTAGGGGGATGCCTAGCGGGCCATGTGATTGGAAAATATATAATTTTTGGCATAAAATCGTCCAAAACACTTTTGCCTCGCTCCGCTCAGCAGTATATCTTCAGTTCTCTTGAATTAATTCCCCTTTCAAAAATCGTCGATCCGCATCTGTAAGCAATGTGTGCAGGATCCCTAATTCCAGATCTATTAACAAATTGTTTCTTGCTATTTCTGTCAGTGGTGTTGGTTGCTGATGTATTGGCATATACGCTTCATCTCTCTTTATTCCTATTTATATTCAAAAGTCGCTTTTTTTCAAAATTTTTTAAAGGAGACTGTAATTTTCTAAAGGATGTGTCGTGTGGAGAGCAAAAAAAGTTGAAATAGATGAACTTATGAAAATTAGCAACTACAAAAGCAGATGATATTATATTTAGTATAAAAACATGGAGCAGTTTTAAAAGTATCTAGAGCAAATACTAGAAAATTGGAGAAGGATAAAAAGTCATATAATAAAACAATTGTTGACTTTTGATTTCAGTTGATACAATGATTTATTAACCCCAGAGATATGACATTCAACATCGGCCGTTGGCCTCGGTGAAAATCATATCTCTGGGGTTGATAAATCATTATATCAACTTCATCAAAAGTCAATAATTGTATAATATTAAATTTTCGTCCTTGTCAAATTCTTTGGATACTTAGTCACGGTCCTAATGTCGAGTAAGATTGCATTCAGGTGGGTATACCTTTTCAGATTTCAGTTGCATGTAAAGTTCAATTAACTTTAGAGCGGTTACTGGAACTTAAAGAGAGGCAACAGGTACTAAAGGGACATTCAGACTCATAAGTTGAAAACAAACTGACAATGCCATGCCAAAAAACAATCGACGAAAGGACAAACAATAGTACACAAAACACACTGAGCAACACGAACCCCACCAAAAAACAGGGGGTGATCTCAGGTGCTACGGAAGGGTAAGCAGACATTTATTCTTAATAGAATAGCAAATTTTATTTTAATTCGGGTTAACATGAAACATTACAAACATAAGCTCTGTAGAGTTTTTTGCCTACATTAATATAAACTGATTCAGGTTCGTCTGCGCACGGATCGCGTCAGGCAGCTCATTTCAAAGTGTAGCTCCAGCATATCCTGCACCAAATGTGGTACCCGTCGTGTTGCTCGTATCAGTACAAACCCGATGATAAGTCTCATTCGGTAGGTCACACTCGAGGAAAAGAGGACGGGATTGTGGTTACGACAATTGGAAAATATCCGTCGTCATCTGTGAAACAGATATTCCATAACGGTCAAACAACTCGTGATGGCGTCGGTAACATTTTCGGAGGGATGATTTTAACTTCACCACTTGGAACTCTTAGTTCAATCTGGGACATACTACATTGTATAATAGTCATAGGTTCAATATCTTCCTTGTAAGCAGCAAATTAACCCTCTATCAAAGAAATCATGATAGGAAATGCGAGGTCTGGAATATCATGATGAACTGGGAGATATATACTCCATATGCAGGTGCTGCTGGAATGTTGGTAAATAGAAATGAAAAGTTAACAATTGGGCTACTAGCAGTTACCAGAGACATATAATACAATTATATTATATGTCTCTGCAGTTACTGACATGCCAGCTCCAGACCTCAATTAAACTGATTGAAAGATTATGTTTTCATCATATGAAAATCAAGCACAATCCCTCCCGTTAGGGGTTTAGTATCATACCACCATAAAATATACGAGAAGAACATAACCCTTATCATGCCAACAACTGGTTTTAGAATAAATGTTTTTATTTCCGATGCAAAGACCCTATGAGTGAATCACCAAAATATGTCATCTTTAATGACCTGACAACAGTATCGTAACTATATTCCTTCTGAATAAGTCTGTTTAAAGGTTTGGTTAGCTTTTGAGGTGAATGCCGACATTTTTGTGCTTTCTAAAGAATATTACCATAAAAAATTGGATGTGAAATACCTGAACGTATAAGAAGTCTGCATGTTGAGCTATATTTACGAATGATGTCCTTATACCGATGATAAAATTTAGTAAATGTTTTGACTAGTTTGTGATATCGAAAACCCTGGTGTAATAATTTTTCAGTAATACATAAATTTCTTTCGTTAAAATCAAATACGTTGTTACATACACGAGCGAATCGAACAAGTTGAGATATATAAACACCATAAGATTGTGACAAGGGAAAGTCACCATCTAAAAATGGATAATTAACAATAGGAAATGAAAAATCATCTCTTTTTTCATAAATTTTGGCAATAAGCTTCCCGTTTAAGATATAGATATCAAGATCCAGGAAAGGACAGTGTTCCATAGGCGGATCCAGGGGGGGGGGCCTTAAGTGGGAAACATTTGGTTGATTATATAGGGAATCACTGAAGCATGACTGGAGCGCCCAAGCCCCCCCCCCCCCCCCCCTTTGGGTCAGTCAGCAGGCCCCCCTTATGAACAGTTCTGGATCCGCCACTGTACGTGTTCATTGTAAGTATTAGCTTTATTTAAAAAAGTCGGTTCAGCAGGATAAATTTCTTTAGTGTACATACTGAAGTCGTCATTATTGAGAGCGAATATATCATCCAAATATCTAAAAGTGTTATCAATTTTTTGGATCAGATGTTGTTTCGATGGGTCCTTTCTAATTTTAGTCATAAATTGTAACTCATAACAATACAGAAATAGGTCCGCAATAAGTGGTGCACAGTCAGTCCCCATTGCATGTATAAATGTCTATGAATGTGTATATTTTTGACTTTTTTTCTTTTTCTCTTGTTTGTAATTGGCATACTCTCAAGGAACCTTTAATTGGGAAATAAACTGATTTCATTTGATAAAATAGGAGACCGTTGTACTGTTGTCACTTTTTGAAAATTAGTAAGTAGTTAGATGTACTATTAGACAACAGTTATCTCCCCTATTAAGATTCACCAACACTGAAATGGATACAATTTTCCACGAACAGGTATAAGTTTTTTTTACAATGACAACTTAATACATTTTCTCGATATTTCATAACAAAGATTTGCTTTCAAGGAGATTCGGTGGTCCGAGTGGTCAACTGAAGTGTCCTTTGAACGCTATCATGACATTTTGAACTTCGAATGTATCACCAGAGACATATATGCACGTGTATATATGTCTCTGGTGTCACTGACCATCACTTTCAGTCCCATAACCTGTTTCCATTTGATGACATATGAAAATATAACTGTAACTTCAAGTGACGTTATTCGCAATTATAATAGGTCAACGTACTTTATTTCGTTGACACTTGCCTTTCAGGAAAATCTGAATATTGTGTCAATGAATTTTTCATCATCAAAGGGGGATAACTCTTATGTGGGGTTTCTCCAGTCTAGATGATTATCATATGATGCAGGAAGACGTCACAGCAAAAAATTAAAATAGCTTTTCAAGACCTCATAATTATTTGGACTAGGGTTTCTCTGAAATTTGGTACAATCAACCAGAAACTTCAGTGCTGTCAAGTTTTCATGAAGTAGATGCGTGAGATTTGATAAAATTGTAAACAGGGACTAAACTTAACGGTTGCCCAAGGCGACCAGATTTTCGGCTGGGCGAATATTTTATCATCCTGAAAGCCCAGCTGGTGACTGTAAAATAGTTTGCTGTAAATCCCATTTCTACCATTTCCCCTGCTATATAAACAAAAACGGAAACCTGATTGTCTAATCAAAGCGGGAAAATTAAAGAGAGAATTTCCGGAAACCAGTAAGTTCATTTTAATAACCAAAACCCGGTCAGACAACTAAGTTTTCAATGCGAAGTCATGATTTGACATATACCTCTTCTCTAAACCTTGGACTATTATACTAACAGGACTGGAAACTGATTGATCTGTTGAGGTTTCATGGCCCCCGATAGCAGATTATTGATTTTTTGTTTTGATTGACAGCTTATCCTGTCATGTAGTAAATTAGCATTCTGTACATAAATGTAAACAATAGATTTCCGCAAACAAGTCAGCATATATATAATACTGTTAAAATTGGTGGATTTGAAATAAAAAAATTATTATTTAATTAATTAGTTTAAATGCAAAAAATATATATTGTTTAGGAAAAATTATTAATAAGTAGTCAATATATTAGTGTTGAAAATAAACCAGATATAGTCGAAATGCCAGCGCTTTACTTGACCGCTAAGAAAACAATGTGTCAAAGGTTAACAGATCATAATTAATCCTAAAAACAATAAGTGTGCAATAAAAACAATGTTTACAATTTCAGTTCATAATTAATTCATATAACAAAAGTTACCCGGGTCTCATAAAGATATAGCCACATTGTTTTGAACTTTTGTGAACTTCGTGTTTACACCAAAATTTCAATATGGCTGTGAACGGGCCTACTTTTGTAGATCTAATTATGGAACCTAGTGTACATATATATATTTACGAAGTCATATGCTAATTATAATGCCACCAGAAGACCATTACTAAGCAAAATTAACCCTGATTATAATAAAAATATTGCACACATAAAAAGGAGTAGGTAATTTTATAGGAACAGTATAATTTATTTGAGCCGTGCATGTGGGTTCCGGTTGTAATGAGAAAGAAATTTATATTCCACTTTTTTATTTTAAAAAGTGACAATAAAAATAAGCAAATCCAAACTATAACCTATAAATATGATTTTACAACAAACCGAACTTGCATATCTCTTTTCAATCAACAGTTATAAGAAATTTTATGAATCATATACTTTTTTCCACATCGTCCCCACGCTATTTTCATACTGAAAATTTCAAACTTTATGTGTCATTTTTTACACTTGAGACGGGATTTGGTGATTAATAACAACTGTCAAAGATCGAGATATCTTTTATTATTATAGTAGTCATGTTTATATTAAGGATTTTCATTTCAAATAACTATAAAAAAAAAAAAAAATTACCAATATTATATGATCAAGGCACGCTGTCACTGTCAAAACAATATGGCGTATCGATAAATAGCGCAGGTAAAGTCTCGTTCTAACGACCGTGATGTTGATATTATTACACTGATTGGTATAACGGTTTCCAGTCCCATTAATGTTCTTATCTCTATTTTAAATCTTCTACGATTATTTCATTATTGTTAAGTGTTTTCGTCGAAACTGTTGAATCGGAGATGCATTCCAGTTGTCCAGGGAGTCATTACAAGCCTTTATTTGACAATAACTTGTCCAAGCATCGCTATTTACAAAATCTTCAATGAAAAAACAAAACGCAAACTCTCGTAAATAAATTTCAAAATATCTATATTGCTATCCAATCTTCAATAAAAAGTAATTGAATAATGTTTTCAATAAACGCTATTAGAGGATGGCTTGGATTTGAAATAGCATTTAATGATTCATAGAAACAGCCATATTGTCAAAATGTCAACAGGAAGTTCAAATTGAAGGGAGACAATTTTGGTGGGAAATGTACTAAAATCAGTACTGTCAAATCTTGTGATCTATTTCTGGTGGCAATAATTCAGATATTATGAAGTTATCACACATAATCTTTTCAAGGCTCAAAAGCTACATATAGGATTACATAAAAAGGCTTTATTAGTATATGAAAAGTACATTTAAGTTTTATTTTATTAGAATAAAAATTGGTTGGGGCCCCTAAAATTTCAAAACGAGATTTTGGGGGACCACCAATGGCGCTTTCCACTGATAAAGGGGACATTGTGATCGCCTTACTATATACTCGGTGATAGTGTGGACGAATATAGGTTATCATTTCAGTCAGATATTGTTACATTTATCCGTTAAAATACATGTACAAAATGCAGTTCTCAACACGTGCGTTCGACATATAAATTGTATAGGTTAAAATTGTAGGAAAAGTTGCGATCACGATCTTTGTAAACAAATGAGTAATAAATATATATTCTTTATGTAAGAATACTTTATACTGAAATAAGACGAAGTCTTATTTCAATAACCTAGCTGTAGGACAATTTGATTTAATTTGTTCAAATACTAAATCAATCTCAGGGGTTAAGTTGTGCTGTTAAGAAATGAAGTCAGTAATTCCTTGAATTGTCCGGTTCCAACAGTAAAACCCTTTCTTACAAGTGTGGGATTTATACATTAATAGCAGCCGCGTCAGGTCGGAGGAGGGACTTCAGATCTAACCTGACATCCTGACCCAGTCTAATACTTCGTCGAGCAGTTAGCCAGGATCCCAGGCTACTTCAAGTGAAATCCAGTACCTCGCGTATTCAGGATGAATGTTACGATCTCTGATGTTAAATTACACTTGAGACAACTCTGTGATGGGATATGCTTATTTATATTTGCCACTGAATGTTACGCTAGCAACACGCGAAAAATCAAATTTTTTAATCCACATGATCTACATATGTCTTGTTTTGTGAGTATAAAACACAAAAAAAGGACGTTTACGCGTTGCATCACTGACTCACGTATACCGTGATCTTGTGATAGCGAACGTAATGACGGACAACATGAGGAGAAAAGTATGTCTCTTAATTTAAAAAAAGGTAAAAAAACAAGAGACTTTTGAAATTCGAAATTGTTTCAAAGTCATCTGAAGCAACAAATGGTCGGATATTATTGTTTTTCTGTAGAAGCGAAGAAAAAACCCTGTCTTTTGCTTATTCATCACCGTATATATATAGCTTCCTTGGTGCCGTAAATGACAGAGACATAATTCGTCAACACAACGCAGTTCTATTTAGAAAAGGAGACAGTTATGACTTCATTTTGACAAAAATGACTACATCTTTTAGATAGACGATACATTTTAAGTCCGACACGGCAGATTTTATAGTTCTCATTTGCCTTTGCGCGATGAAAAATGGTAGCAATGAATTCGTTTATAAAATTTTATATCATTTTCTAAATGTTGAATTAAAATGAAGAAGTTAACTAACTGGCAATAAGAAACCACCGCACTAAGTCGGCTGACTTCATTTACCACCAAACTGATAATTAATCAAACGCTCAAGGAGACTAATTAACAGCTATCTGTTCGATGATAATATTTTTACCCATGATTCCATAGTTATAAAATGAGATTTGGGGGGACCACCAATGGCGCTTTCCACTGATAAAGGGGACATCGTGATTGCCTTACTATATAGCACAGGTTGCACACTTCGTCTAGTAATGGACTTCTGATATTACATAATATCAATTCCTATTTTCTGTCATTAAAGCTGTCCAATTACTATTCACATTATTATCTATTGTTGTGGACCTGCTTAAATGTGAACTAATCAAAATGAACATATATTCCATATTTCATGATGATGAAAGGATTATTATTGGTGAAAGAAAAAAATTCCAATTCTGGTTTATTGTGATGCAAACTTCCAATCTGATGAATGGGCCCCATTTGAATGAGGTTAAATTTAACCCTGATATTTTAATAAAAGTTGTACATAATGTATGTCTGTAAAGAGTAGTAATGAAGAGTGGCATGACACTTTTTTGTGTTGCCTCTAATATGCCTTGTGTGTTTTAGAAAATTAAAAACTTTTTTGGAAATCTGATGAACCTTGAAAGAAGCTTGTTATTTGAATTGATATGCAAAATTGTTTTTTATTGGTCTTTATTCTGTGACGTCAAGTCTGAGACTACTGTTTTCTTAATATATAATAGTATCAGGACCAAAATTATCCTATATTAGCTTCAGTTATATTTAGTATTTGGAAATGTTCAGTGATTTCTGATGTCTTGAAAAATTAAAATCTGGTAGACACAGTAGAAATTGTAAAACTTTTATTTTTTATCTGACAACTTAAAGAGTATTAAAGGACTTAGTAACCTGGTAACAGAAAACAATTTGAACGTTCCAAGAGTTTCAAAATGTAAAAAATCCATGACAGAAGATTCTGTTTTAAAGGGGCATTAGCTGTCAAATTCATGTTCACTGATTTGACTCAAATTCTCATATTTGATTTAGAACATACTAAAACGTATATCCAAATTACAAAAAAAGTCTTAAATAAACAGTTAACAATGCATGGACTCAATAATATGTATCAGCATTTTGGGTGTATTTTTGTCTAGACGTCATCTAATTAACATCCGAGATGACTTTCGAAGATTGCCAATAGTCTTACAACCGGATATAAACATAAATATAAATAGACAGAGACCATGTGTAATTGGATTTTCTAGGTCTGTTTTATTTCATATTGTAGGTTAAAAAGTAGTTTTTATCTGTATAAGAATGATTTTTTTGTGGATCAATCAGTCAACCAAATGGTTCATCCTTGTGTCACTTTCAATGTTGACATTCCTTTCCTTTTAATAACTAAATACTTGCTTAACCCATCTCCAGCTAAAGGGTTGAATTGAAGATCACATGAATACGGATTCAATGAGGTAGAATTATTCACTTGCAAGTGCAATAATCTATCGGCGATGTTTTTTTAGCTTAATTTGACAAAATTGAACAAAACTGGCTGCTAAACCTGAATTATCATTTCACTATTGGAATATTTCACTTTCATTATTGATTGAACAAAAAAAAAAATATTAATTATTTATTTGTCGTAGCTAATGCCCCTTTAAGACAGAAAGTAGCCATGGTATCACCAACTTGTAAAATATCGAAAAGAAGAAAAATCATGAAAATATCACACAATACATTATACAACCTAAAAAAAAAGCTAAAGCAATACCAACCCCTTTAAACAAATCAGGGTTAATCTAACAGTGGGTAAGAAATTCATTATTGCAAGTAATACCATGCTCCATTGATAGCACCTGTCATGATGCTCATGGCCAACAAAAATCTGGTGGTAATTTATATTTGCTTATGTCACAAACTTGGGGAAAAATAGATGAGATTGTGACTATGGCAAGTGAAACATATAAGGTTAATTTGTCATATATATATATAATATTTGATAACATTCCACCATATCATGACGGTGTCTGTCTTTGACAGAGATGACTTCAACTTTATCATTAAGGACCTTAGTTTAATAGTTTTTTGGTAATCAGCTACCCTCTGTCAGTGTATCATTCAATTCACACAAGCCCTGAAATATAGTATCAACTGGAATGGAAAGTTCACAAAAGGAAAATTTAAATAATTTTCTGTCATAAGTTCTCAACAGGACCCTCAATACAAATATAACAAAATGTGATATGAATGCCTATGAGACAACTACAAAATGTATCCACCAGAGGGCAAATGACTTAAATGTAAGCAACTTGCGGTCACCTTATGTCAATTTCTCATGTTATGTAAGATATGACTTAAATGCATCTGTGGTATCTTTATTTCAAGTTCAATGGAATAGTTTCTATCAAAATAAATGCACCAAGTACATGTAATTTCCAAAACTTTGATTTATTCAGTAACAACATTTTTGTCTCACCTTTGACAGAAGTCGCAGTATGTGAGACATACATTGTAGGGATTACTATTTGGTGGCGGCGGTGTAAACTATTTGTATAAAGCTATATATTTCAGAAGTTAAAAGACCGGGATGCTTCATACCTTGTTTGCAGATACCTTATGTTACAAAGTTTCCGTCTGTCATATGTCCATTGTCCTAGACCTCATTTTCATAGTTCAGCAACTGCTTGAAAAAAAACCATAGTTTTTTTGTCATGTGAATTTTTCACTTTTTATGAGTAATAGGATAACAATATTTGGTATATGGGTTCATTGCAATGTCTACATGTCTGTCAGATAGAGTTCACATGACCTTGACCTCATTATTTGGATCAGTGATAAAGTTTAAAGTTACGTGATAAGGTCCGTTTCTCAGATACTATAAGCAGTAGGTCAACTATATGTGGTTTATGGAATGATTGTAAGGGGTACATGTCAGTTTGGCAGGTTCCATCTGACCTTGACCTCATTTTCATGGTTCATTGATTAATGTTAAGTTTTTGTGTTTTGGTTAGTTTTTCAAATACTATAAGCAGTAGGTCAACTATGTTTGGTGTATGGAATGATTGTACATGTAAGGTGTACATGTCTGTCTGGTAAGTATCATCTGATCATGACCTTGACCTCATTTTCATGGTTCATTGTTCAATGTTAATTTTTTGTGTTTTGGTTTGTTTTTTTCAAATACCATAAGCAGTAGGTCAACTATATTTGGTGTATGGAATGATTTTAAGGTGTACATGTCTGTCTTGCTGGTATAATCTGAACTTGACCTCATTTTCATGTTTCATTGTTCAGTGTTAAGTTTTTTGTGTTTTGGTCTGTTTTTCAATTACCAAAAGCAGTACATGTGTAGGTCAACTATATTTGGTGTATGAAATAATTGTAAGGTGAACATGTCTGTCTGACAGGATTTAAATGACCTTGACCTCATTGTCATAGATCTTTAAAAATTTTAAGTTTATGTGATACTTGTAGTAATTTTTTATGATCCATCTGTTTTAGAGTACCGCCATGTTTTCTGCAATTTAATGGCTCATATAAAAAGACACTATGTATTCATAGATTGCCTATGCTTTCACTTTAGCAAGAGGGTTCCTTGTGTGCACAACACTGTCTAAATGCCCTATTACAAGGACAGTACTTCAGTCCAGTAGATTTAGCAGATATTGCTCAGCAGTTAGATGAATCAGAAAGAGAACAAATGGCAGTAGGTGGCATAGAAACCGAAGAATATAGAAGATTTATGGAGGTAACTGTAACATATGTACTTACCACACTTAATTCATCCTTTTTGTTTCTGTGTAGCATGTGTATTTGAACAGTACTTACAAATATTGTTTGTTTCATATACTTCATCATGTTTACTGCAAGTGTAGAAAGTGCTGAACAGTTTTTTACAGTCATATAGCATCATAAAAATTGAGGAATTGTTGACATTTTTACATGCACAATTTCAAATAGTCAAAGGATATAGGTTGTTTTGCAGAATGAGACAAAATGACAGGAAATCATTCCTCAATATAAAAGCACCAATGTAAAAAAGAATTTAAAAAGTCATTGTTGGAGTCAGGATCATAATGTATATAGAATGACTTGTCAGCTGTGATATAAGTTAAATGTACAGATATCTTAATATGTTGGGAAATAAATAACACCAAATTTTGGTTATGTCATTGAGACGGCAACCCAATAACGCCTTTATCACACCAAGCTCATTTATGATAAAGATGTTTTAATTTGTCCCCTACATATGAAGTGGAAGGGGACTTTAGGTTTGCACTCCGTCCGTCTGTCTGTCTGTTCGTCTGTCCATCTGTCAGTCCGGCAAATCAGTTTTCCAGACTTTTTTTTCTTCGTGCTTGAAGATATTGATTTGATATTTGTTTTATTGATTTATCATGACAAGTTACAGGTCAAGTTCAATTTTCACGGTTTTAGCTTTTCTCTTTGTTCAGTTAAAGCCCTTTCCCTAGAATTAAATTTTTGATGAAATACTTATGAATTAGTAGATTTCTGTTCAAAGGGAAATAAACTCATTTTTTAAAAGACAAAATGACATTTTGGATTTTTTTCCTTTTCTTGGTAAATTGTTTGAAGAATTTAGTGATAGTTTTGTTTTTCATTCTTGAAGATATTGATTTGATAATTAGTATATAGTTTTATCATGACAAGTTACAGATCAAGTTGAAATTTTGTTCCAGTCTGATAATTTTGTGCAGTCGGTTGCCTTAGACGAAATGTACATCGTCTTAACCTTATAAAGTCATCAATGACTCAAAGAATAGCCAATGAAAATGTTGTAATATCGTCTCAATCATGATGCTGGATAAACCAATCAAATTCACACAGTTTTCATATCAATATTTTGTATCACACTCTGTGCAGTGTGATACAAGAAATATCTCTTCATGCAAGAAATAGATAACAGTCCTCAACCTTAAGAGAACATTATATTCATTTTACACAAGATTGAATTAATTAAATTTTCAGCAACCATCCAGTAATTTTGATGACAGTGGTTTTTTTTCTATACAAGTAATAGAAAAAGGACTGTCAGTATGGGGTTTACATTTGTTACCATATAATTCACAAGATCCTGTTGCAGCAACAGCTAGGAGTAACCCTGTGTGAGTATTTATATCTTTTTAATTATTTGATGTTAAGAATCTGAGGTTGGCAGCTAGTTTTAAGAAAAAAGAGTAATAGTATGTAGTACATATATCTATCTATTAATTTAAGGAACTTTTATGACATATGTATACATTTTGTATACTATTCCAATTGGAAAGGAAGAATCTAGTTGATTTTCAATGGCAAAGGTCAAGTTTACTTCAAAGGACCATTCAAGTCAACATGATAACTAAAAACTTGGCGATGAAAAGAAATTAAATGATTGGTGTATCAATTCATGACATTAAAGATTATGTTTAACAAAAGCAGTATGGGCTTTGCTCATTGTTGAATGCCGTACGCTGACCTTTAGTTAATTTCTGTGCCATTTGGTCTCTTGTCATGCTTGTGGAGAGTTGTCTCATTGGTAATCATACCACATCTTCTTTTTATATGATGGATATTTTGGCAGAACTGGAATACAAAACAATGTATAAGTCTGATTATGCTACAAATTGATCTAGTATTTAGTCAGATTATGTTGCTATTGTGTTGTTGTCTTATTCTGTATGTTCGTAGACTAGTAAATTATTGAAGCAGTTTTCTGTTGTGTCCAACACTTTTTGTAATTATTTTGTTTTATATATTGTGAAGAGCAAACAATTGGTTTTCACCATCAGACAGATTAAATTATTATTTTATTTTACAGGGAAATGAATGCTTACATATGCAATTTTCGAGAACACTGGTTAGCTATAAGAAAACTTGGTTATCAATGGTTTAATTTAAACTCGCTTCTTACAGGCCCAGAACTTATATCAGATACTTATTTATCATTATTCTTAACACAATTACAACAAGAAGGTAAGTTGATATTTAAGGTTAAGTTAAAGATTTGAAAAAATACCAAAATAAGAGTGAAATTAAACAAAAATTAAATCACTTAATTGACCATATACTTTCAAACAGGCCACAATCTTGCTGCGAAATGATGATTTAAGTCGCCAAACATTTTTGAAAATTGTTAAAACTTTTCATCATGAGGATGTAATCACTCAACTAATTTGTTCAAATTTTTATTATAACGAACCAACCAGTTGTACATTACAGGGGTGGGAATAAACGAATGATTTTCATAAATTTTGCAGTCGTATATTGGTATCACGTCGTCGTCAGAAGACATTTCGTTTCCGGACAATAACTTTAGTATTAGTAAATAGAAATCTATGAAATTTAAACATAAGGTTTATAACCACAAAAGGAAGGTTGGGATTGATTTCGGGGGTTATGGTCCCAACAGTTTAGGAATTAGGGGCCAAAAAGAAGCCCAAATAAGCATTTTTCTAGTTTCATGACAATAACTTGTGGAACAGTGTATGGATCTCTGAAGTTATACCACAAGTTTTCATACCACAAAGGGATGGTTAGTATTGGCTTTGGGGCGTTATGGCTCAAACCGTTTAGGAATTAGGGGCAAAAAAGTGAGAAAAAATAAGGGTGTCCTGGTTAATGGACAATTGCTTAGGTACAAATTACAGTGTAAGGGAGGTAATTCAAACACAACTTTGAATTACCTCCCTTACACTGCTTTTAAATTATGTATAAAGAATTTGTGTATTGTCTTGAGGTGATTAGCTGTCAATTCATTTTTAGAAGTTACTATTTTAATAATTTTAAAAATGCTGATTAAGGTAAATTAATTTTAGCTATAATTAGGCCAGACTTTTTTTTTATCTTTAACGAGAAAATTTGTAAAAATTAGGGTCGAGGGGACGAAATAAAAAAAATAATAAAAGTGCAAAGTTGGTCCAGTCGACACTAAGTATAAAAATAAAACCATTATAAGTGACTTTTTTTTTTTTTTTTTTTTTTCTTTTTTTTTAAGAATTTATCAAAATACAAGAACAATGAAATGAAAACAGACCAGTATATTAACCCTTCTATTAATATGAACATAAAAAATGTCTTTTAATTCTGTATGTCCTCTAATTTAGATCCATGCATATGCACCAGGCAAATATATCAACCTCCCTGCATATACACTATATATATGTATATTACCAGCCAGGAACCTCTTAGTGTATGTTACATGTTTATACTGTATATACAATTCAATTAAAAAACTACTCTGTTATCATGTTCATGAAATTAATTATTTTTCATTAAAAAGATATATTCATTTAACTTTTAAGCTCGGAAATAATATAATTATTTTATATTAGTGTAATAGACATGGTTGAGCAACATTAACTTATAAATTAAAACAATGCATTAAAAAGGAAATATAAACATTAATCAAAAATATCTAACCAAAAGTACATTAATGCGTGTGGAATGCGTAATTTTTCCTTTTGGGATCAATTTTTGTCTGTCAGCAGTGCCATTCATGCGTCCGTAGTCATTATCGCAAGAATCTGGATTTCGGTCATAGCGGGTCCGCTTCTGATGAAATCCCGACTCCGATCTGTAGTTCTTCAAAAATATACCCAATTATTTAAATGTCGGAGAAAACTTTACAAAAATAAACGATGTTTGATACGCTTTTTTGGAAAGGAATATGACGTTTTTAATGCAATACATGGATTACAAATTTACTTCAGGCTAATTTCATCAAGTTCAAATGAAGTAATAACTTATTTAGCTGAAAGTTAGAATGATTTGATGTACTCTCTCGTGTAACAAGTACCGGCGAAAGTGGTTTTAAACAAATTGTTTTTATGAAAAAACATGCCACCAGCTTAAAAAATCAATGCTTTAACCTCTTTTTTGAAGTCATAAATCGTTTATGCCTTTAATTTCTTTACTTTGAAATTGCTGTTTCATCGACTTGGTAAAAATTAAAAATTACCGTTGACAAAAGCGGGTATCATAAACCACAGATTTTATTTTTGTTCTGAGGATTTTGTAACAGTCGGCGGGAAAAATAAAAATAAAAGTAAAAAGCACTTCTTTATTTTTTATTCTGAAATCGGGAAATTGGAGTCGGTGGATCTCGTTAAACAGATAATAAAAAAAGTCTGGCTTTATGTATGTCATTTTCTATTTTAAGACTTTTATGATGTATTTAAATGGGTTATTATGGTTGCAAACTCCATTGGAAATTTGAATTGAAATTATGACCATGACTAAGGGAAAGAATTTTTTTTGGGAAAAGGGGGGGGGGGGGGACAATTTTTTCTCCTCAAGATTTCAGAAATCAAAAAGAAAATACTTCAAATTTTTTTTTTTTTAAAAGGGGGGTGGTTGGGGGGGGGAGGTCTATTCGCAACAGCATAGTGTATTGCACAAAAGCTAAAAATTGAATATAAATTCAAATCATATAGCCAATTCTAAGTTCTTTGACTACAGTTATTCTGTGTCAGAAACCTATTATGTGTCAAATCTTTAATTTTAATCTAAATTCAGACCTGTATCAAGACCGAATATTGTGTCCATTTTTGCCCCAACTGTTCAGGGTTGGACCTCTGCGGTCGTATCCAGCTGCGCTTGGCGAAGCAATTTATTTGCTATTGAATAAAAATTATTATGAATGTATAAAGTAATAAAATGCTTCGCTGAGCGCAGCCGTATATGACCGCAGAGGTCCAACCCTTCAAATTCAAATTTCCAATTGAGTTTGCAACCATAATTACCAATTTAAATACATCATAAAAGTCTTAAATAGATAATTTAAAAGAAGTGTAAGGGAGGTAATCCAACATTGTACAACATTATACAATTTTGTTTTTGGATTTCCTCCCTTACACTGCTTTTGAAATGGTCCATTAACCCGGAAACCCTTGTTTTTTCCCCTTTTTTGCCCCTTATTCCTAAACGGTTTGAGCCACAACCCCCCAAAGCCAATCCTAACCATCCCTTTGTGGTATGGAAACTTGTGGTTAAATTTCAGAGAGATCCATACACTTAAACACAAGTTATTGTTGAAGTTACAAAAATGCTTATTTTTGGCCCCTTTTTGGCCCCTAATTCCTTAACTGTTGGTACAATCCCAACCTTCCTTTGTGGTATTGAACCTTATGGAAAAATTTCATAGAGATCCATTCACTTAAACTAAAGTTATTGTGCGAAAACCAATGTGTCTTCGGACGACGACACCAACGTAATACCAATATACGAGCGCAAAAATTTTTTGCGGTCGTATAAAAAGGGCTGATGGAAAGTTTGATTGCTAACAAAAGACCCATTGTCAACTTGTAATTAGCAGCATGTTTTGTTTCCACAACCAACTTGTTAATAAGACTTAGAGAAATATCTCTTATAGAAAAAAATAAGAAAATTTTTCTCTTATCTTTTAATTAATAGGAGCTTGACAGATATCTTCAGTTATAGGCCTACAATTTTTCGTGAGAATCTCAAATTACAACTGACATGATGTCCTGGACATTCAATGATGTTTTACAAAATTATGACTATTAATGATACATTGTATAAATGAAATTTTCCAATCATTCTCAAGCCGTTCTTGAAAAAAAAAACAAGTCATCAGATACAAACTGGGATATACTAGCAACTAATTTTATTTAAACTTAAATTCAAATTGACAATACAAATGGCATGACTAAATAAATAACAACTATATTGTCAATACAATTTTATTAGTTTTTAATATATACTGTATCATATAAAACACTGCAGGTATATTTTTTATTGCATATACATAAAACAATTTCCTTAATGTGTATGTCATAGATAAACACGAAAACACAACACAAATGAAACGTTAATGGAATTTCACTTCTCCCTACTCTCTCATGGAAGGAGAAGTCTCTTTTCCCTCTCCAAAATCCTAGATTATTGATTGATTGATTGGTGTTTAACGCCACTTTCAACACTTTTGTGCTATTTCAAGTCGGTCAGTTTTTATACGACCGCAAAAAAAAATTTCTGGTCGTATATTGGTATGACATTTGCGTCGTCGTTCGAAGACACATTAGTTTTCGCACTCTAACTTTAGTTTAAGTGAATGGATCTCAATGAAATTTTACCATAAGGTTCAATACCACAAAAGGAAGGTGGGGATTGATTTTGGGGGTTATGGTACCAATAGTTAAGGAATTAGGGGCCAAAAAGGGGCCAAAAATAAGCATTTTTGTAACTTCCAGACATAACTTGTGTGTAAGTGTATGGATCTCTCTGACATTGTACCACAAGGTTCCATATCACAAAGGGAATGCTTGGATTGATTTTGGGGGTAATTGCCTCCAAATTTTAGGAATTAGGGGCCAAAAAGGGGCAAAAAACAAGCATTTTTCTAGTTTCATGACAATAACTTGTGTGTAAGTGTATGGATCTCTCTGACATTGTATCACAAGGTTCCATATCACAAAGGGAATGCTGGGATTGATTTTGGGGGTAATTGCTTTCAAATTTTAGGATTTAGGGACCAAAAAAGGGGCAAAAAACAAGCATTTTTCTAGTTTCATGACAATAACTTATGTGTAAGTGTATGGATCTTTATGAAATTGTACTACAAGGTTCCATATCACAAAGGGGAAGCTGGAATTGAGTTTGGGGGTAATTGCCCAAAAAGTTTAGGAATAAGGGGCCAAAAATAAGCATTTTTCTAGTTTCCAGACAATAACTTGTGTTTAAGTGTATGGATCTCTCTGAAATTGTATTGCAAGGTACCATACTACAAAGGGAAGGCTGGGATTGATTTTGGGGGTAATTGCCTCCAAATTTTAGTAATTAGGGGCCAAAAAGGGGCAAAAAACAAGCATTTTTCTAGTTTCAGGACAATAAATTGTGTGTAAGTGTATGGATCTTTATGAAATTGTACTGCAAGGTTCCATATCACAAAGGGAAAGCTGGGTTTGAGTTTGGGGGTAATTGCCCTAAACGTTTAGGAATTTAGGGACCAAAAAGGGGCCAAAAAACAAGCATTTTTCTAGTTTCCAGACAATAACTTGTGTTCAAGTGTATGGATCTCTCTGAAATTGTACTGCAAGGTACCATACCACAAAGGGAAGGCTGGGATTGAGTTTGGGGGTGGTGAATCATGAGGGGGTTCAAAAAATTTGGGGGGGGGATTTTTTTTTCCTTTTTTTTCTTTAAAATTTTCCATTTTAAATTGGTTATTTCTGATTTATATATAAAAGCAAATAATAATGATATGGTTTGAATAGGTAAATTAAAAAATTTTAAGGTCTTAGACCACTTTCATTCTGTGTCAGAAACCTATGCTGTGTCAAATATTTAATTACAATCCAAATTCAGTGCTGTATCAAGCTTGAATGTTGTGTCCATACTTGCCCCAACTGTTCAGGGTTCGACCTCTGCGGTCGTATCAAGCTGCACCCCATTTTATTTATTGATGGAGGAAGCCGGAAAGAACCACCGACCTTCGGTAGGAAAACTGACAATTCTAGTCAATTAAGATTGGAGTCTAGTGCACCTGCCCCGTGCGGGATCTCACAACCTCAGTGTCAGGGATGGGGTAATCGTAATCGATTGTAATTGATTACATTTTTTCCAGTAATCGACAGTAATCTGTAATCGAAGATATTTTCGATTACATGTAATCGTAATTTAATCGATTACAGCAAAAATTATGATGTAATCATCGATTACTTTTCGATTACATTTCGATTACTTTGGTAAAATAGCTTGATGAAATATAATCTTTTTTATATGAAAGTATGTATGTATTCATCACTTTATAGTACAGATAAAAATAAAATGTATTGATATGACTTAAGAGTTTATCAAATGCCTTGTTTCTATCTATTGGCTCCAGCTGCTTCAACCAGATCTATCAAATTATACTGTATATCTAGCTTTTGAAACAAATGACTTTTCTTGCTTGTCAGTAATTTAAGACCTTTTATATAAAAATAAGAAAATAGATTTAAATAAGAAATAAGTCTTAAGTTAAAATCTGTACTATATTGCAGTAGTAAGCTTATTTGTATTAAAATTCCTTAAAGCATAATTTTCAATAATAGTTGGGATTTTAGCTTAGAATAGATAAACATTTGATTCATTATAATGTTATGACATAAAAATTACAAAGTACACGAAATCCTTTTGACAATGAACCAATGGCTATGCATTAAAATTCTTGTTCAGTAATAGAGATACATGTATCCAATTTTTGCACAAAAAATATAAATTGTTTATAATTTTGAAATGAGAATACAAAATTCTCAACAAACTTCTTGTCTTTACTAATCAGATGAACAAAGACTTCTAATCAATAAGATGAAGACTTTGTTTTGATTTCAATTATGTCTAATTAAGAGGAGATTTACATTATATTGCCCCAGGTTATAATTGTACTCCATTGGCAGTATTATAGCCTGTAATTAGGGAGGTTGTCAAAACAAAAGGATTAATTCATGCATGTAATTACAAATCATAAATTTTCATCTCTAAAATTAGCTGAACTAATTAATTATTCTACTTTTTTATAGTTTTTTTTTCAGAGTAAACTTTCAACATTGTAATGAACTATATTCAAATATAGCTGTTACTAATGAGTAAAAACAAAAAACTTAACTTTAGTCAGAATGACAGCAAAAATTTGCAAAAATATGGAGATAATAACCTAAAATATAAAGAAGTGATTGATGCAATGTGATGCCATTGCAAGAACTTTATCACCAATCATTCATATTGAAAACCAAAATTTCTAGAATTTTTGAATATTTCGGATCCTTAGACAGTAAGAGCTTCCATCTAGAAAACAACTGTCAACATAAAATTTGGAAACAATGCTTTAAATGCTATTTTTGTAAAGTTCAAAATTTCCACTATACATACATTGAACAACATAATTAACTTTGTGTTTAACTTACTTTATTCAAGTTGTAATTTTGTAGCATGTAATTAACAGTAATCGAAAAGTAATGTAATTACTTTTGCTAAAGTAATCGATTGCAATCGATTACATACAAAAATCAGAGTAATCGATTATTAATCGATTACACAAAAATCCTTCAAGTAATCGATTATTAATCGAATACATTTGTCAGTAATCGTGCCCATCCCTGCTCAGTGTTGACTGGCTAGTGATACAAATCCTAGATTAGTTCCTGCTTTTAAAAGTTCTCATAAAAATGAACATGTGCACCCAGTTTCAATTTGATGTGATCACAATTTCATTGTATGCTACCTTAACCAAAAACTTTAAACTGAGAATGTACTGATTTTGTGTCATCTTTATTCCATGTTCAGTGAGCTGTGAAAGCAGTATTAAAACTGTTACTTTTAAAATTTCATGCCAAATTAGGTTTTTGACCCATGGTTCACAGAACATGGACTTATGATGGTGTGAGAGCCTGAGAGGTGCATGGGGTCCTTTGGACACATATTCTTTTATTATATTACTGTAATATGAATTTAATTTTGTTGAATAGTTAATTTTATTTAACCTTGATTTCAGGTTATTCAATATTCATTATAACTGGAAATCTACCTGAATGTGAAGCTGATTCATTATTAAAAGTTATTCCAGCAAATCAACCAATAAAACCAAAACTTATTAATGAGAAAAACATTAAAAAGAAAGTTACAGATTCTGATGTTAAACAAGCCCTTGAGGCTAGCAAGAATGATATTGATGCAGATGATAAAATTTTACAGGAAACTCTGAAAAAAAGCATGGAAGGTAAAATAAAGTTCTATCATTGATATTTTCTGTATTTTTATACTATATATTTTTATACGCCCATTTACGGGACGTATTATGGTATACTGTTGACCGTCTGTCCGTCCGTCGTCAATATGTCGGACATTAATTCAAAAACGCTTAAACCAATATGCATGAAACTTTGGTGAATTGTTTATATCTATTGACGTGAGCTCCCTTTAATTTTTTATAAATTTGGGATTTACCGTTTCCAAGTTTTGGGGTTTTATTCATTAAAAAAGGGGGGATTTTCCAGTTTTCCGACAATAACTCAAAAACATTTCACCAATTTGCATGAAACTTTTGTGAATTGTTTATATCTATTGACGTGAGCTCCCTTTCGTTTTTTATAAATTTCGGATTTACCGTTTCCAACTTTTGGGGTTTTATTCATTAAAAAAGGGGGAATTTTCCAGTTTTCGGACAATAACTCAAAAACAATTTCACCAATTTGCATGAAACTTTTGTGAATTGTTTATATCTATTGACATGAGCTCCCTTTCGTTTTTTATAAATTTCGGATTTACTGTTTCCGAGTTTTGGGGCTTTATTCATTATAAAAGGGGGGATTTTCCAGTTTTCGGACAATAACTCAAAAACAATTTCACCAATTTGCAAGAAACTTTGATGAATTGTTTATTTCTATCTACATGAGCTCCCTTTTGATTTTTATAAATTTTAGACTAATCGTTTCCGATTTATGGGGTTTTATTCATTACAAAAAGGGGGATTTTCCAGTTTTCGAACAATAACACAAAAATGCTTTCAGCATTTTTTATGAAACTTTGGTAAATTGTTTATATCTATATTTGTAAGCTCCCTTTTGATTTTGATAAATTTGCAAATGTAGGTTTCCAAGTTAAAAGATTTTATTTGTTTATAGTCTGACAACAGATTTACTAAGCATTGTGCAACAGCACAGTGTATTGCACAACAGCAAGAAATCTTTCATTGAATATAAATTCAATTCATATAACCAATTTCAAGTTCTTTGACTACATTTATTCAGAAACCTATAATATGTCAAATATTTAATTACAATCCAAATTCAGACTGGTATCAAGCTTGAATATTGTGTCCATTTTTGCCCCAACTGTTCAGGGTTGGGCCTCTGCGGGCGTATCCAGCTGTGCTCAGCGAAGCAGTTTATTCTATATTAAACGTGATAAGCTAATTATAACAACAACACATTTTTCACAAAAAGCTGTCATAATTGCAATGGCATTTTTGTCTCGTCTTGATGGAGTCAAAAAGTGAGAACTAGGTATGCTGTTTCCTACACCAGAAGTGGTGTCAACATTTATATTAGTTGTGATTAGGTCAGTTTATAGGAAACCACTAGAGTTAGGTGAATGATAATTGGTATGCAGTTGTAGTAGCATTGACACATTTCATTACCATGGAGATTATTTGGCCCCTACACCATCAGTCATGTTCTATTGACTTTTAAACTTTTGCTTAGTTTACATATATTAGTTTGTAATTAGTCAGTTTAAGGGGGACCACTAGTGGTAGGTCAATGGTATTTGGTATGTAGATGCATTAGCATTGGCACATCTCATTTCCATAGAGATTATTTCATTTATTTAGCCCCGCCCCCTCAGTCATGGTCTATTGACTTTGAATGTTTGTCATAGTTTACATGTTAAAGTTTGTGATTAGATCAGTTAAAGAGGAACCACTAATATTAATTCAATGATATTCTCTATGCAGTTGTATTAGCATTTGCAAGTCAAGTCTCTTTTCCATGGAGACTATATGGCCCTATCACCTCATCATGGTTCATTTACTTTGAAATTTTTACATTGTTTACAACTTTAAGTTATATTTTGGTTAATGTAAAGGGCACCACTTATGAAAAGTCAATGGTATTAATTGGTATGCAGTTTTGTAAGCATTGGCATTTCACAATTCCATGGAGGTTATTTGGTCCTGCACATTAAGTCATGGTTCATTAACTTCGAATGTTTTGAATAGTTTACATGTTTAAATATTGCCATTTGGATTCAATATTTGCATTATACATGTACTACCAACATTAAAATGGTGAGACATATCTCTGTGACAACAGTTTATTATTTATTTATTTTTTTCAAATGAGAAAAGCCTTCCAAATTAAAGAAAAATAGTTACCAAATGATATTTTTAGAGAAATAATAATAATGAAAATCAATACTGTCAAAATTTTGATAGTATTGGAATACATTGTTTCCAATTGTCAGGGATTTTGTGCTGTAACAGAATTATGAAATTCAATTCCAAATACTTGAGATGTATTCCATCACTTTCTTGATCTAAGTAAAAAATCAAATTTACTAATGTTTGTTAAGATAAATTTGTGTGTATAAAGAAAATTATTTTTGCATTTAAGGATACTTTTATGATGAAACATTGCCAAGTAGTAGTTCAAATAGTACTGAGGTTAAAGAAACAGAAGATAAACCCATAGTAACTCCATCTCACGAAGAAATAAGATCAAAGAGACTTGCTTTTTTATCAAAGCTTGAAAGCTCATCTTCAGATAAATCTGAAGCCAATCAGACAGACGGTGAAAAATGTAATGGGTGTGATGTACTTCTAAAGGAACAAAAAGTAAATGGTCCAGAAACTAGTGGTAAGCTGGGATTATATAGCTTAGGTACCCTTATTAAAAAAATGCAAAATGTGTATTGTTTTTGATTGTACCATAGAAACTTGAGTATACAGGTATGTTGGAAACTTGGGAGTAGAATTTGTGATCCAGAAAAGGGTTTAAGCAAAAGAGGTTTGTTTTTATGAACACTGAAATACACTCTCTATAAACGATGACAAGGAATTAATTAATAATGTTACTATTCTTTAATATTTACAAGTAATGGAATGAATTTAAAAATTCAAGATGGCTTAAAAGGAGTTGTTTGAATTTCACCAATAATTATTATAGGTTTAATTGAAACAAAACACTTGAGATTAATCAATAAATCATAAAAAAATCTAGTAGTATTGTCAGTTCAATATTTATTATCATAATGATTGCAAAATACAGACAATCATAAGGTGTTATGAAGATTTTTGAAAGTAAAATGTCAAAGAAAGTTAAATTTCGGAATGATGATAAAGGAATTGCTGAAAATATTTGAAGCCACAACTTTAATTTGAACTTAAGATTGTTGATGTGGTTTTCTCTAAAAAAAATAGATTGAGCAAACACTTTTAAAACTTTGTATAGCAAAATACTGTTGTTATATTGAATCACGTTTGTGCAACACATCAAAAGACATACTTGTTACTGTCTTGATGACATATACCTAACATCTCTTTTTGTTTATACTCAATAATGATGTGAAGAAAAGTGAATGTAAGCTGCAGCCATTTCATACAATACAATGGAATAATTATCAATGAAAAAACCACCCCAAGGGTGACTGGGGAATAGAAATATGGTCACCATTGGTCTTCCTCCGACCGGCGGTAAAACCCTTGCTAAAGTGGGGCGTCCGTTTGGCTGTGCGGGGCGTATAAGTTCGCAGTCACATCCGGTCAGAATGGGGACGATAAATCCGATGCCTCGTGTAAAGAGAGTGCCACGTTCTCTGCACGTTAAGAACCCTTGCAACAACTCTTTGAGGGGTCCGTAGGTGGCCTGTTGCAAGGCTAAATTTCTGTCCTTATCCAATATACAAATGTACCCCTATTTTCCCGTGGCAGTCCAAACTTCCCCGACCTTCATCCCAGACGGCCTCTGTTACAGGACCTACATATTGTATTTATTGTTAACTTGTTCTCGTCCTGAACCAGCATGAAATATTTGCCACTGGACGTTAAGCAACCAACAATCAATCAATCAATCAATGAAAAAACAGCAGTTATAGAATTAGTGCTGTTTATTTAATGGAATACTGGGGTGGATTATTGTTTATCATCTAACAAATACACATGTATAATTTCAATCATTTGGAAAAAAACTATAATTTGTAAGTTAATTTTAAATAAGTAAGAAGAAAATTACAATAGGAATGATAGTTATAAATTAAAAGTTATAAATAACTATTTTTCAGATGAGGGAAATGACGAGGATATGTTGAAACAAGCTATAGCAATGTCTATGGAAGGACTTGGATGACACAAACAGATGTGTCAAGCAGAAAAAGAAATACTGTGAAACTACACAGGCATTAAAAGCTGCTTTATTAATTTAGTATTAAACCTCAAGTCTTTCAAAATCCAAAAGTGCTCCTTGTAGTGATATTTCGATAGTTTTCATAGAAAACAAATAAAATAGTTAAAAGATTGAAACAATTAATAGTTAAAACATTGTTAGAAATTTATATAGCTAGTTGATGGTAAATAGAGGATGAAAGATTCCATACACAAAAGCAAATTATATTTGCTTACTTTTGTTAATGTTTATATAATCTTTGAAATATCGATATTGAGATTGAGATAACATATTGGATTGATGGATGGATTGGCATATTACTTCTCATAGAACCATATGTCTTAATTTCTTTATTGAACTGTGAATGTGTAATTGAACTTTGTCATTTCTAAAGCTTAACTGTGGGAATAGTCAGATAATTTACACTTTTTTTCTCCAATAAAGAATTAAAATTTGCGATCACTCAATATATTTTGTGTCATATCTGCAAACATGATTTTGAATGGACATTCTGTAATATTCAAATACTTTCCAAAAGCTTTTTAAAAAACCTTGAAATGAGCTGAATAAGTAGCTTTTACCAATTCATAGATTTTCATAACAATAAGATTTTGCATGTTTGATGCATACCAAGGTCATCATAACCAATTTAAGAACACCTAAAACAGTTATCTCCCTTTAAAGTTGAAATCCAGCAGCCCAAATAGTTTGATTTCTTGAAAATAGGTAATCAACAACAATAAGTAGTTCATTTTAATAAGGATGATTTAATAATGTTGATGAAATGACCAAATCTAATAGAAACCAGTTCAAGGAATTTGTAAATGTTAAAAGTTATTACAATGCATAAGAGATAATTGAGGATAGGAAATGCCTACTTATTTGAACAAATTACAAATTATTTTTTTGGTACCATTATATGAAAAGCTCAAATTATCAAATGTCAATTTTTAGCTCATCTGGTCTGAAAGGGTTGTGTGAACTAATTCCATCACTGTCCTTTATCATTCATTTGAAAAACAAAATCTTCTTTGAAACCTCTAAGCTAATTTAGAGCAAACACGGTTTAAATCATCATAAGGTATTCCATTTTTAAAATTATGTCTAAAGTCCTTGATGACCAATGTGCATGTCATAAGTTACTCAAACTGAACATAGAGTTAAAATCAGCACAGCCCCAACAAAACCGGGAAAAAAGACACGAATGAATATACATGCCTATGCATTGATGGGCATTGAGGCAGAAAGTACCTTTATTTTGAGAACAGTTATGAACAAAAGGATATGCTTTGATTTGTTTATTGTTATAGTACAAATGTATTAAGTTAATAAAACATGAATGTAGAAGTGTTAATTTATCTTTCTTTCAGTCTGAATTTTTCTTGCAAAAACATACTTTTAAAATCACAGGAAATAACCTCCAACACAGTTTCATTGCTTATAACAACTACATGATGAATAAATTAACAACATTTCTGAAAGATGATACTACATAATTTTTCTCAATATGTCATTTGTTACTTGTTAAAAAGTTGAAAGGATAACTTTTGCTTATATTAAAAGCTGAAGTTAAGACTTTCTATTTTCCAAATTCATATTTGCTTGGTTGGTCTGTTAGCATCAAACATGATAAGTATTTATACCTCCATGACTTACATAGTTTACTGAATCTCATTCCTCAATTCTCAAATTTTTGTGTTTGCTATAAGATCTCTTCAGTGATCTTTAATACATGCATACATATGAAGGATATTTCTAGCAGAGCTTAACATCTTGGTCTATGTTGCCAGACATACATGGCATATGTTTTACAATGGTAAAAGAGTACCTCATGTTATAATTCTCAATGTCTGAAATGTATTATGTTTGTATCTTTTTTTTTTTAATTTAATAAAAATCTTAACATAAACTTTGTTATGAAGCCTTATTTCAACCAGGAACAATGTGTATGCTTCAAAGAATGCTGTGCTATGAAATTATTGAAAATCCAGGATATAAAAAGAAGACAGAAGGAAAAAAGAAAATTGTGTTTAGTCACTTAGAAACAAAAATTCTGAAAATGATGTTTCACTTAAGTCAGTTAGGGTCTATACATATGGAAATAAGCAAATTTTGTCCAAAATTTTTTCACATATTTTGAATAAACATTAAATTATAAAAGATGAACAACCAGCTGACTGTAACAAATACTATTTTTTTATTCACTCGTTCTCTCACTGTTGCCATAGAGAAACATTTGGTCTGTGGGCTTTTGTGTGAAGAATTATCTTAATCTGTCATATTTTAAATTATTTCATTTACCAGTAAAAATGCATTCATTGCAGGTTTCCTTCTTATGCAGAATTAATGTGCAGCATTAGGAATACACATTATACTGTAGAATGAAAGTAAAATCCTACCAAAAACTTACCGGTAATTTGATTTTTGGCATGATCTTGTTCAATGAAAAAGATAGTTGAAATGTTTCTTATGTTTTGCTCTCAGTAGCTGGTACATATGGTGTTACCTGTGCCTGTCTTTCTGAAATCCAACAGTTTCCCAGACTTTTTCTTCATGCCTAGTTGGTTTTTAGCTAGCCTAAAGGACCCGTGTGAGCTATTTTATTCACTAAGGTCTTGTCATCTGTTGTTGTCTATTCACTTTTAGAAAAGTCTCCCCTGAACTTATAATCATGGCTTATTGCAAACAAATTTGGCAAAAATCATCCTAAGAGTATCTTGTTTAAAATTTGTGTCTGATGAAACCACTGGCCAACCAACATGGCTACCATGACTAAAAATAGAACATAGGGGTAAAATGAAGTATTGTCTAATATCATGAAAAGCATTATAGATAGTGAAATCAGGCATTGGAAAAATGTTCTAAATGTTAATACATAGCTACTGTCCATTTTTACCAAAACTGTCAGAGGACTCCTGGGAGTTTTCTTTCGAAAAGGACACTTTTAACCTATTTTTTTTGTCTCGCCTTGACAGTCAAAAAGCAAGACATAGCTATTCTGTTTCCAGCGGGGTGGGGGCGGTGTCGTCAACAATGTATTAGTTTGTGATTAGGTCAGTTTATGGGGAACCACTAGTGGTAGGTCAATGATATTTGGTATGCAGTTGTATTAGTATTGGCACATCTCATTTCCATGGAGATTGATTGGCCCTGTACCTTCAGTCATGGTTCATTGGCGCTGAAACTTTTGCTTAGTTTATATGTTAAAGTATTGCTATTTTAATTTCAACATTTGCATTTTACAAGCAAAATAAAAAAAAGGCAAGACATATCTCTGTGTAAATATATTTTAAACATTTTTGGCTTTTATTTTGAAAACTATATTAGAAGGAGAGAAACTTTGAATAACAAAAATTATCAGCAAGACAAGATCTACAAATCACTGAAACATGACTGAAACTGCAAGAGAACACTTTATAAGAGTTATTGCCCTTAAATGACAGTTTTAATCAATATTTTCATGTTTTTCGCTTACATCTTGACAATTATAATAGATTGAGAGAAACTTTGAATTGTAATAAAATGCTCAGCTGGGCGCAGCTTGATACGACCGCAGAGGTCGAACCCTGAACAGTTGGGGCAGGTATGGACACAACATTCAAGCTTGATACAGCACTGAATTTGGATTGTAATTAAATATTTGACACAGCATAGGTTTCTGACACAGAACGAATGTGGTCTAAGAAATTAAAAAATTTTAATTTACCTATTCAAACCATATCATTATTATTTGCTTTTATATATAAATCAGAAATAACCAATTTAAAATGGAAATATTTGAAGAAAAAAAGGAAAAAAAAATCCCCCCCCCCCAAATTTTTTGAACCCCCTTATGATTCATCACCCCCAAACTTAATCCCAGCCTTCCCTTTGTGGTATGGTACCTTGCAGTACAATTTCAGAGAGATCCATATACTTGAACACAAGTTATTGTCTGGAAACTAGAAAATGCATGTTTTTTGGCCCCAAATTCCTAAATGTTTAGGGCAATTACCCCCAAACTCAAACCCAGCTTTCCCTTTGTGATATGGAACCTTGTAGTACAATTTCATAAAATTCCATACACTTACACACAAGTTATTGTCCTGAAACTAGAAAAATGCTTGTTTTTTTTCCCCCTTTTTGGCCCCTAATTCCTAACATTTTGAGGCAATTACCCCCAAAATCAATCCCCGCCTTCCCTTTGTGGTATGGTACCTTGCAGTACAATTTCAGAGAGATCCATACACTTGAACACAAGTTATTGTCTGGAAACTAGAAAAATTCTTATTTTTAGGCCCCTTTTTGGCCCCTTATTCCTAAACATTTTGGGCAATTACCCCCAAACTCAATTCCAGCTTTCCCTTTGTGATATGGAACCTTGTAGTACAATTTCATAAAGATCCATACACTTACAAGTTATTGTCATGAAACTAGAAAAATGCTTGTTTTTTGGCCCTTAATTCCTAAAATTTGGAGGCAATTTCCCCCAAAATCAATCCCAGCATTCCCTTTGTGATATGGAACATTGTGGTACAATGTCAGAGAGATCCATACACTAACACACAAGTTATGTCTGGAAGTTACAAAAATGCTTATTTTTGGCCCCTAATTCCTTAACTGTTGGTACCATAACCCCCAAAATCAATCCCAACCTTCCTTTTGTGGTATTGAACCTTATGGTAAAATTTCATAGAGATCCATTCACTTAAACTAAAGTTAGAGTGCGAAAACCGTATGTCTTCTGACGACGACGACAACGCCGGATGACGACGACACCAACGTCATACCAATATACGACCGCAAAATTATTTTGCGGTCGTATAAAAAATTATCAACAAGACATTTACAAATAAGACAAAGATGGCCAAAAACACCAGACTCCCGATAGTTCTTGCTCTTCTATAATAATTTTTTTTCTTCAAATTTGTGCGTTTTAGGTTATCTTTAAAATTATAAAAGATAAAGAAACATTAATAGCAAAAATGATCAGCAAGACAAGAACTTCAAATAGGACCTGACCAAAATTGTAAGATGTCTCTGTATGAGTTATTGCCATTCAATGACGATTTTTGTGTTTTAACCTATCTTGACAAGTAGAATAAATGGACTGAACAGCAAAAATTACCCAGCAACACAAGATCTACAAATAAGTTATATGAATGCATAAAAAGAAAAACAGGAATTACTAAAATGTTTGGTCAGTACAACAGACCCCATCAATACCCAACAAAGACAAAAAAAAAACTATGAAAAACATTTGGTCCATATAGCATGACTTGAAACAGGCTCAAAAAGGTTGTGGTTTTAACCAATTTTATGTGTGTACAAACTTCCCTCCTCCTTCACCTTTCTAGAATATATGTCATAAAAATAAAACGAGCAATAAAATACTGCACACTTCAGGTACCAACAAAATAACTACTAAAATGAACAAGAAAATAAAAGAATGGCACATTATTTGGAAAGCAGAAGCTTATTTTATCCTAAAAGAGGGACGAAAGATACCAGAGGGACAGTCAAACTCATAGATCGAAAACAAACTGACAACACCATGGCCAAAAATAAAAGACAAACAGACAAATAATAGTACAGATGACACAACATAGAAAACTAAAGACTAAGCAACACGAACCCACCAAAAACTGGGGGTGATCTCTGGGGCTCTTGAAGGGTAAGCAGATCCTGCTCCACATGTGGCACCCGTCGTGTTGCTTATGTTATTACAAATCCGGTAAATAGTCTAATTCGGTAGGTCATATTCGTGAAAAGGGAAGGACATTGTAGTTACAACATAAGGAACATATCCGTGAAACGGTTATTCCATAAAGGTCAACCAACTCGTGATGTAGTCTGTTAAATTTACGAAGGAATGATTTCAACTTCACCATTTGGAACTCTTGGTTTAATAGCTTCTTTGTGAGCAGCAATCCTCTAAACTAGATGTGTGGATACAACACAAGTGCCCCCACCTGAAGCTTCATTTCGAACAATTAGTCAATCAGAAAATAGAATAAAACTCAATCTGTAAGTCTTCATATTACACTTATAAACCATAAATCAGCTCCATGTCCACGAGCATTACAAAAAATAGTTCAGACAAGTACAATTTACATTTTCCAAGTCCAAGACCTGTAATTCTGTGAATAGTATATCAACAAAACAAAATGGAAAGTCAATCTGTAAGTCATCATTATACACATAATTCTAGGATAAAAAATTAGGAGATTTGGTATGATTGCCAATGAGACAATTTTCAACTGAGTCCAAATGACTTATGTGTAAGCAACTGTAGGTCACTGTATGGTACATCAGAAAAATTGGCAAAAATTGTGAGGTGCATATCTTAAATTATAACTTTTTTAAAAGAATTCCGGGCTCTTGGTTAAAAATTGTACGAGGAGTTGATTACCTGTCTGCCCAACATTCAAAATACTATACCCTGGATTTTTACTTCATGCAACTTTGCCAAAAATTTTTGCTTAAATTTTCTTGTCGTTAGAAAATAAAATGTTCTCTATCATGTTTTTTAATAATTTTTAGGAAAAGAGACCTCATTCCCTAAATTATCTCTTAAACTTGAGATAACCACTGTACTGCACCCTATAGACAGGTAGGTGGTATAAAGTGATCAATGTGTTATTTTTAGTTTGTTCTCCAAGACTTGGGGCCTTGGTGGCCGAGTGGTCTAAGTAGTTCTACTACTGTAATCACTAGCCAGTCAACACTGAGGTTGTGAGTTCCAACCCCGCTCCTGTGGGTGCACTCGACTCCAATCTTAATTGACTAGGATTGTCAGTTTTCCCATCAAGGTCAAGGTTTTCTCCGCGCACCACGGCTTCCTCCACCAATAGAAACTGGCCTCTCAAAATAGCCCAAAAGTGGCGTTAAAACACCAAAAATCAAAATCAAAATCCTCCAATACTTCATATCTGTATCTCTTCTTGTGCACTTCTATTTTAAGTTTTTGTGGCAAATGATTTTTGTGGTTTCCAATGGCGTAATATGGAAATATCTACATAGTGGGGACATGTATCTTGTGGTCCAAACTATTCATAAATGCAATCCATTTAAAATTCTCATCCAATTGGTCAGAAATTTTAACGAACTGCTGTAGAAAAAAACAGTCAAGTCATCAAAGTGCAAGGTGATGAAGTAAAGCGTACTTACAATCCTTCAAGACTTTAATTCCACTTCATTTGATCAGTTTGGTTTAATAAAACAAGTTACAATTGGATCAGAATTTTGAATGAACTGCAATAGGTGGAGAGCAACACTCAAGTCACAGAAATTCATCTAACAGTAATTAGGGGTTCACATAGTAAACATCTTATCTATACAAATAGGAAAGTTGATGTATGAATTTGCGAAGTAAGGTATAGCAACTGATAAACAGACATCCTAAAAACTTAACCTGATCACTGGAGAATGAAATTGAGTTCAAGTCCATATGACATATGTCAGATACACTTTTATCCCTTGCATCCAATCCACATACCTAATATCGGTGACCTCTCATGTATAATTACTGTGAAACAGCTGCCTCAACATTTGTTGTAAGCAAGAAAAAACTTGCAAAATCATCATGTGTATGGGTATATTTATGCCATAAATATGTATTTTTCAATTTCTATAACGTCCAGCGACAAATTAAATGCACATTCAAGAAGAGAACATGTTATTGTAATATAAATATTAACCCTGCTTTGTACTAAACCGACACACTGAGTCAGATTTTTAGTGTGCTAATTTACAAGGTAGTCCACTGGAAGAAATGTCACCCTACCCAGACACGTTATACTGACTGCAAGATGACCAGGCTCTGCTCTTTCTCCTTAATGCAGCGTGCTTAGCTGAGAAGCAGTAAATACAAATTTTAAAGTCTTTGGTTTGACATGGATGTAGTTTGAACCCACGACCTCCAGCACTACAGGCGGAACAAGACCACAGAGGCAGTTTTTGAACACACTAATTAACAAGGTTACAGTGAATGATAAGGAGACATTAAATCTTGGCACTATCCCTACCTAAAAAAAAACTTTAAAAGAAGTTTGTTCTTCTGACCAGGTGTATTTTTGGTAACAATTGTAATTACAGTTGCTCTTTTGCTGACATACAGCCAACAAAGCATAAGAGGACCATTTCATCAACAGTTGGATTCATATGTTGTAGAAAAGGGTTATAATTTGTACTTTATAATAAAGTTATATCTATAGTATAGAATAGCCATGTTATTGATCAACAGCCAGATTTATTTAGAATATAGAAGATTAATGCACCTGGTGCGTAGCTGGGTCCATTTGAAGAGCATGCCAGTAAGGGGGGTGTTGGGGGCTTGCCCCCCCCTCCCAAAATTTTTTTTTAATAGATGCAAAATGGTGCATTCTCACGGAGGGCCTAAATTTGGTTTGAAAAGCAAATTAGTAAGACTGTATTTGCTCATTTTTTTATTGAGAAACATCAGCAATTTTCAAAAATCTGCCCTCTGTTTTTTAGCTGCAACAAAAACGTCCATGGCCTTGTCTAAATTGACTTCAAAATCATGACGGATGTGCATTAAACCTAAAGACGACAATCTGTCATTTCTCATTGTGGAATGGATGTACCTTTTCAAACTTTTCAGTACCCAAAACAACCTTTTGGTTGTAGCACTAGAAATGGGCATTGTTCAGAGAACATACAGTATTGTATCAATATACGGATACGGGATTAACGATATCAAGCGTTTGACAGTGCTGTCGGCACTTTATCACTAGGCTCCGACGTGCAGATATTAAATATATTTTCTATAATTTGACTTACTTGCAGATCTTATTTTACTTTTTACTTTGTAAAATGTGAGTTTGATTTTTCTGGATTTTATAAACCTAATTGGATAAGCTTTCGATTAAAAGTAATTCCAATCCTGTATCATCCAATCAGAAGCCATACAAGATTCTATTCTGAGTACAGAAACTTGCCGGTAAAATGTAAACAAATAATTGTGCTCTTGTAACCTATACGGTAATGCAAATATTTTTCTAAAATTCAGCACACAGCCCATATGAAGCGCAAGCGTCTATCTAGCTCTTATCACAACTTCAAACCATTATCTCATCACTCTCTGAATTTTGAGAATTATTTATTGGTTGTTGATCCAGCCTAAAATTTGAACTGTTTTTTTTTAGCAAATACAGTACTGTTCAAAAGGACAAAAAGATAATGTCTATTTACTGCCCTTATTTTTTAAAGATCATCCAGCACTAATCATTTTGCTGACAAAACCGTTCTATTGAAAAGCTACATAGAATTTTGAAGAATGGCTTTAAATGATATTATTCCGGCGTGAATTATTTTTTTAGACTCCGCGATGTGCACGCCATGGCGTGAAAGCATATATGGAGCTACGCCACAGTGCACAACTATAGTTGCCATGGAATGATAATCCTCACACTTGCCTTCAGCTAGTTATGTAAAAAAGAGACTATGATAAAATAAGCATATCTTTATTTAGTTTTTTCCAAACATTTAAGATAAACTAAAATGTAAAGACAAATACATACAAGTTCTGTGATCACAAACTTAAAATAAAAGACTGTTTCTACTACAACTAAGAGCTCAGGTTAAAAATAATCCATCTAAAAACAGAAAAAAAGGGACGTTCAACAAATTAATGAATGGAGATGTAAGAAGCTACTTTTCTCTTACTCTACTATGCATAAATATAATTACTTATATATCTTATAAAGGCAAAACATTCAGAAACAAACATCACCCATTAAATTTCAAATTGTGTGCTTTCCCATTCCAAATACAATAATTTGTAGAATAGCCCTAATTAGTGCCCCAATTATGACACAAATGAACAAAAATAACATTTTTAAGTAAAATAATGCATTTGTATCCTATGAAAAATTGTCAAAATCATATCACCATATTACATTAATCAATCATTCTTCAACTGACACTTGTACATCTCACAAACAGACAATATAATCCAGCATTTTTGGTAAACAAAAGGAAAGAAAAAAATCAAGAATTTTAGGCTTTAGTACCATTATTAGATACATGTAGTTTTATACAGAGACACTTAAGTCATCAAATCTTTACGTTCCTACTCACAAATCTTAAAGCTTTTGCTTCAAACAGTTTTTTTTTATTTATTTTTTTACCTTTTTTTTCCTCCAATAAATTGTTTTTTAACAACATCCTTTTTTCTGTTATGAAATTTAAATGCCCTTAGTATAAATTATTTCAACATTATACTTCTATAACTTTTTATTGATATCATTATCTCCTTTTATTCTTATCATATATATATATATATATATATATATATATATATATAATGATTATGTTCTAGTGATACTCAAAAATGCCAATTTATACAAATGAAACTGTCTAAAAGTTAAATATGCTGTAGTTTCTATGCTTTAAAAGTATAAAAGATGAAATATGGGATGGACATTTGTTGACAGATAAAAATGATAAAATACTGAAACATTCAACACATTTAAAGATATTTTTCAGAACAAAATAGCATAATATATTATGACATAAATGAAAAGTGATAAAAGTTTGGTTAGTTCACTTCATCTAACAAATTTTAAAATGATTTTAAAAACAAACACATATTCTGCTTGAGTGATGAATTTCAGACTGACTATGATACCACATTAGCATCTTACCACATATTATCACACAAATGCATAATTTAAAAGAAAACTCTTTACTATTTACATTTACCTTTGGTTTTTTTATTACAAAAATAAATTATCTCAGATGTAATGCTTAACTGTACAAACTGATAATTCTGAAATAACCATAAAAAATCATATATCTAAAACTTACTGAAAAATATAGAAATTTATAATGATAAGTACATTAAAAGTGCTTGAATTCTTTTCTGCTAAGTATTATTTTATATTAAATGATATAATAATAGCTATCATTTAATATTAAAGCCATACTTTCCTACCTATTTGTATTGATTATCCACTTCTTAACCTTAAAATATCAGACATTAATCACTGAAATCCTCTTACATAATTTCATGGATTTAATTTTTAATAGAAATATGAAAAACTTAAAAGTAGGGTACTTAGCATAAATTCAGCACAAATAGCTTTATTAAGTCAATCATAACTATAAAACATATTTCAACCAGTCTTTTCACATATCTAACAGAAAAAAAAAATGAATAAAGAATTTACACAAATAAAATACTTGGTTTATCAATTTCTGTACAATCATTAAAACTGATGTCTAAACTATTTGACATACAAAGTGCATAACAGTTTTCTTGTGGAAATCTCTTTGATTGTTAAAGAAAAATCAATATTTTTTACATGATAACAATAAGCATTTCTTTAAGAAACGTATTTTATAATTCTTGGTATAAATAATTTACCTCATTGCAAATTGCATTCATTTAAGGATAAAAAAAATAAAACAATACTTCTAAAACACTTATCTGCTAAAAATAATATGTGTCCTTAACTGAAAACAGATATGTAGTCTTAAAATTTCATATCAGACATAAGCATTCTTATCTGGATGCAGTGTTCTATGTATAATAAATTAAGCAACAAAATCTCTTTGACAGACATTCTGAAATAAAAAATTTTGTGTGCAAAAGTTGTTGCTTCACACCTTTTATTGTGATTTCCTGAGAAAGAGTTGTACAGAGGGATGCATGTATAAGTATGTTGATCAATCTCACTTATTTGATAAGGCTTATACAGTAAGATTTTACACATAATAAATATATACCATTGGCTGTTAAACTGTCGTTTTAAGAAAACTTGATAAAATAATACAAATTTAAAAACATTTATCAATCTGCTTTTCTGACATTTCGTTTACGAGTTTGTGACTTTGGACTGTCTGCCACTTTTGGTATATCTTCTTCTTTACTTTTTGTACTTTCATCTGACACCTCTTTGGGAGGTATATTGTTTTGATGAGAATCTTTAGTGTCATCTATTATGTCTTGATCATCATCAGCCTGAAATCAAAGTTGGAGAAATTCAAAGAAAAAAATCCAGATGTGAAAAAAAAAGTATTTACAAGAGTGCACACGCTGAAATGTCTCGCCTGTTTTACTTATCATTGATTTTATGTTGAAAGTCTTGTAAATAAAGGTTTTACTAAAAGCATTACAGAAACTTAACATTTTTATAAATCTATGACAATGAGGTCAAGGTCAGATAAATCCCATCAGACAGACATATAGACCTTACAATTTTTTTTATACAACAAATATAGTTGACCTATTGTGTATGCTAAATGAAAAACAGACTAAAACAAAAAAAACTTAACATTGACCAATGAACCATAAATATGAGGTTAAGGTCAGATGATACCTGCCAGACAGACATGTGCACCTATCAATTATTCCATACACCAAATATAGTTGACCTATTGCTATTAGTATTTGAATAAAAACAGACCAAAACAAAAAAAAACTTAACATTGACCATTGAACCATAAAAATGAGGTCAAGGTCAGATGATACTTTCCAGACAGACATGTTCACCTTACAATCATTTCATACACCAAATATAGTTGACCTATTGCTTATAGTACTCAAAAAACAGACCAAAACACAAAAACTTAAAATTGACCAGTGAACCATGAAAATGAGGTCAAGGTCAGATGATACCTACCAGACAGACATGTACACCTTACAATCTTTCCATACATCAAATATAGTTGACCTATTGCTTATACCGGTAGTACTTGAAAAACAGACCAAAACACAAAAACTTAACATTGACCAATGAACCATGAAAATGATGTCAAGGTCAGATAATACCTGCAAGGCATACATGTACCCATTACAATCATTCCATACACCAAATATAGTTGACCTACTGCTTATAGTATTTGAGAAACGGACCTAATCACGTAACATTAACCTTGATCGCTGATCCATTAAATGAGGTCCAGGTCAAGTGAACTCTGTCTGACGGACATGTAGATGTTGCAAGGAACCCATATACCAAATATAGTTATCATATTACTCATAATAAGTGAGAAATTCACATGACAAAAAAACTCAATTTTTTCTTCAAGCAGTCGCTGAACCATGAAAATGAGGTCAAGGACAATGGACATATGATTGACGGAAACTTTGTAACATAAGGTATCTACATACAAGATATAAAGCATCCAGGTCTGCTACCATCTCAAATATAAAGCTTTATACAAATAGTTTCAGTGTTCTCCCCAGGATTTTTGGATAGCACCAGGGTAACGCGTGTGGACAGCTTGGTGAAATGATTCATGCAATCAGTTGTGTCGCGTCGCTTAGCTATATTTCTAGTTACTGCAGTATGTCTCTTGTTTAGCTTTAACACTGTGGTACTGTGTTATGTAGACACTGAGTCAGAAAATTATTGGTAAAAAAAGAAGTAAATCAATAAACAGTTTGTATACTTTAATATTTTTTTAAAATAAATAAAACATGATTCATTACAAAATATTCATCTAAATTTAAAGTAATCAAATCTTTTATAAAATCCATGATCAATAAAAATAAAATATCATTCAAAGGAGACCAAAAATGTTCAATTTAAAGAAAACTTTATAGTTTCTAGAAACAAAGTTGTTGTATGTGAAAGGATTCTTGATATAAGGAGATATAAAATAACAAGAACAAATATTGATTTATTGTTTGAACCAGTTTCTATCTTAAATTTAAAAAAAAAAAGAAATTTTTCATAAATTTAAAAACATTTTGTCATAGATTTCATGTAAATATTAACCTTTCTTGTCTTTGGTGATAATCAAACATTGATACAGATTTAATACTGCACTGTTTAATACTGCACTGAAATCTAACCTTTATTTGTCATGATCCATTTGAAAAGAATTCCTAAATCTATAAATTTATCTTAGGTATATAAGAAACCATATTCAATGTCAACAGCAAAGTCTCCCTATTTTTCCCGCCTAAATGACAGGAAGTTGATATAAATAGATTTAACATGTGCTTATGGATAAATTTGCAAGATTACTTCTGTTATTCATTAATTGTGGATATAGATATCCAGTTTGAAGGTACAGTCATACATTTTATTTATTAAATAGAATAGATTGCAATTAACTGCAAATAAACTTTAATATTCTATATGAACTAACTGGGTCATGTGATATGTACATATGTCCGTCCCTTTCACAGATACTATAGTATGAAACCCGATATCATGTACTAACTATGTCATAATTAAAGAAAATTTTGGCCATGGTTTAATCTGACATATTATACTATACTAATGAGCCAACTTTATTATGTACAAAAAATGTACAGGCGTGTGTGCAACTACCGGGTTCACACTGTTTGTGTACAAAGTATTTGCAGACTTGTCACAGGTCAGCGCTTGGGTTGTGAGTGAAGCCATAAAATATTTATCAGTGATCATAAAGTTATGAACTCCTAATTAAAACACAAAGGAAATGTAACAAGTGTTAATTACATAGATTAAATCCAATCAACAAGGTTAACCTCATAAGGTAAATTGATCACGTGGTGTCATCAATCTGGGTAAACTGGTTAGTCTTGTGTGGACGAAACGCGCATCTTGCGTATTAAATTTTAAACCTGGTACCTTTTGTTAGCTATTATTCATATGTTTCTCTGTCCTTTATGTTCTCCCATTTTTTTGTATTGTAGTCCTGTCATGTAATGTTGTCATTTTAATGTTATATTTAACATTGCCATAAAAGCGGGAGGTTTGGCTAGCCACAAAACCAGGGTCAACCCACCATTTTTTTCTTAAAATGTCCTGTACCAAGTCAGGAAAATGGCCATTGTTATATTATAGTTCATTTCTGTGTGTGTTACATTTTAATGTTGTGTTTCTGTTGTGTCGTAGTTCTCTTATATTTGATGTGTTTCCCTCAGTTTTAGTTTATAACCCGGATTTGTTTTTTTCTCAATCGATTTATGAATTTCGAACAGCAGTATACTACTGTTGCCTTTATTGAACTGGTCAAATTTCACCTGGAATTTTATACCGCACTGAAAAGATTTAACAAATCGCTTAAAACTTTACCGATTTACGATTTTTTTTTACTGAAAATTTTAGCACCACGGTAAAAAATTATACATCGTGGTAAGACCGATATCACCACGGTCAAAAATTATACATCGCGGGCCCGCGGTCCTTTAAGGGCCTGGGGAGAACACTGAGTTTACGCCGCTACAAATAGTAATACCTATGCCTCCGTCGCAGGTGAGACAAAAACCCATTCTTAGTTCTTTTCAATCTATCTGGATTAGAATTCCGTCAAGACAATGCCATGTTAGGACGGATGAGTCTCTGTCCAATATAGCTAACCTAAAATCTAGACCAGGGCTAATACAGAAACCTCTACATTTTTGCTATGAATCTTTAAAAAAAATAATGGTCTTGTATAAATTTCATTATGCAATATGTAATAGAAAAACACTAACCCCACTATTGATTGTTAAAAAAGTGCATTAAAGATGCTATAAATATTTAAAATAAAGTCAAAGTCTAATTAATCTGTAGATCCAGGATTTGTAGCTTCATTGGCTTGTGGCCTATTTACAGATTTGACATGACCCCTTTTTTTAACTTTCAATAAGCCATTTGGTCATATTAGTCAAATCTTTGGTTTTAAGTCACAAATTTTGTAAGTCCTATAAACAATCAAATACATTCATCCCCCTTTTTCTCACAAAGCTCAAAAACAGCAAAAAAGTGCCAGAAAAGTAATTCCTTATTCATCGAAAACAAGCAAATGTATTCTCAAACATTGCAATATATCATTTTTTTCCATCTGATTTCTGTCGTTGCTAAATGAATGTATAAAAAAGTTCTTACAAAACTTTCCTTCCATGTAATCTTATTAATTTTTTTATCTATTATATCTCATTTTTCATGTATTTGTCTTTTGGTCTGTAATAAAGATGAAAAAAAAGATTAATGAAATCATTAAACTTGAAAATATCAAAATGACAAAAAACAGTAAAGAATTAAGTAAAAATTGCTGGTCAGATATGACCACAGTCAATTAATCAATGTCATCAAATACCTTGTTAGTTTCTCCCTGTCCCTTTTGTTTGTCATACATGTATGTTGATGGAGGTGATGGTCTGGATGGGAATACAAAATCACACAAAAATACTATAACCTGCAAATAAGTATGATAATGCAAAGATTAATTATAACTTGTAATTATTTTGAAATGTTTCTTAATCAATTATGCTACCAAGGCCTCTGTTATCAGTTAAATACAAATTGGTTTTTCAGATTCTTTGAAATATGTCATGCCAGTCAGTGTTTTAAGCTATTTATAGACTTCTATTCGATTTGTCACAGGATATCTGCCCTAATAATAGATTTAATACTTTTTGGTTGCTGCAGCACAAAAGACAAAATCAATGCCAAATCAAATAAAATAAAATAATTTAAGCTAGAGGCTCTCTAGATCTTAATCCCTAACCTGGTTAAATATGCAACTTCAAAATTATTAGCAACAGTGGCAACCATCTCTTACACACTAATATTGTGACTAGATTTGTTCTAGTTAAATGGAGGTTGGATGCGACAAAAAAAATAAATTCAACTGGATTTACTAAGACATTGAACCATGAAAAAAGGTCAAGGAAATGACAAATTTATCATAAGGGAACTTCAGCCTAAACAACATCTATAAACAGATTACCGACTGTATACAATTAGTTAACACTTGTGGGACGATATTAGCCTCTTGAAGGCTTCATTCTGCAACTTTTATCTCAAACAATAAAAATGCCAACATGACCTTTTTAAGATAATATCCTATAAACTTACTAGTCCAAGTATCAATCCTGTCATTATGGTTGCAATAGCAAAAATAACATAACATCCCCATTCAGGTATGCCATATTGTTCTGTCATCATAGTGTACAAAGCCTAAAATAAAATTAAATATAATCATTATAAAACACAGTCTTGCTTTCATTATTGATATCTACAGAAAATGTCTCCAATAATTCATAAAATAACACTTATTATACAACTTGCTTTTTGAATTGGCATTATATAGTGATGAAGAAGACTGTATTTTGTTCATCCGTCTGCCCAACTCTTGTATTCACAACTGCTTCTCAACAGCATGACAGACTCTGATGATGTACATTTGCACCTCTTATTTCATATTTTCATATCAATGTATATGGGCTTTACTTCGGCATGACATGGACTTTGTCATATCTGTACACAACAATACACATTTGTATCTGCTTCTCCTCTTAAATCTTTTAATTTTTAAATTTTTCTCCATATTATGCACCTCTTATTTTGTTTTTGGAAGGGTTCCTTTAGCAAATAAAGGACTTTGCTTTATCTTAATTTTGTATCAGCAACTCTTCCTGAAATCCTTAAAATCAGAATTATTTATTAAAACTTTCTCAGAAATTATCATTATTCACCATATAATGCCATGGTGTACCTACTATTTTGTTGTTTCATCCAAATCATGAACTTTGCAAAGGCCTGGGTGAGAGGGGGTATCATTTTGTGAGCTTTTCTCATAGTCCACGTATATCTAGTCTCAAATGAGTTTGCTTCATACAGGAACTTCTCAAGAAATGAAAAGAAGGCAGCGTTATACATTGTACCTAAATCTTCACATTATACTACATGGGAGATGCCCTCCCACTGAATAAACCAAAGTTTGGGGTCTATGTGGTTGAAATCTATCCCATTGATCTTGAATTAAAAGATACCTCAAATGCAGCTATTTCTCCTTCATATTTTGACTTCCAGCAAGAAATTGATAGTGAGGGTAGGTTAACTAAGGTAAAAGAGATAACTTCATTTTTTTCATTGCGAACTTTCCATTTCTATGAAGCATCATTTATAGTTACACTATATCTATTGAATGATTTTTTCCAGTCAATGGATATATTTACCCTTATTTTCATAGCCAACTTGAAAAAGAATCCAACAGCTCCCATCCTGCAAAAGATTTTAAAATTATTTAAAATGATTATATCAAGTACAACATCTTTTACTCTAATGAACTTGTAGAGTTTTAAAATATTTCAATCACCAAATAATATATGAAACATTTTATAGGACTTCCAATTACATATGATATGAACCATTATTATCTTATGTGATTTACTGTTATGTCATGTGATCTAAATATGCAAGAGGATTGTGGTTAATCAGAACCTAGTGTAATCCCCATTACATTCATGCATGCAATAAGTCAAATTATCTTGCCAATATGTTTATTTATTAGTTTTTATCTTATGTATTGTATGTCTTGACTAAATTGGTAACTAGCTATAAGTGAAGTTTCTTTTTGCTTCCAAAGCTCTAGGTTATTGACTTTTCACCTTAAACAGGTAACACTATATTATATATTAAAGAGATATTTATTATTACTACTTTAATTTGGTAACAATGAAATACATTGAACTGTGATTTCCCAGGAATATAAAAACAGATAATTTCACATGTGATTAAAAATATGATAATTTCACTCCTCTCTTGTCATACAACAATGGGTGCTGTCAAGAAATTGCTAAGAGCCTGGTGACCCATAGTTTTATTACTTTCTGCTATGAGCATGGTGACCAATAGTTTTAATACTTTCTGCTATGGGCATGGTGACCCATAGTTTTATTACTTTCTGCTATGAGCCTGATGACCAATAGTTTTAATACTTTCTGCTATGAGCATGATGACCCATAGTTTTATTACTTTCTGCTATGAGCCTGATGACCAATAGTTTTAATACTTTCTGCTATGAGCCTGAGGACCAATAGTTTTAATACTTTCTGCTATGAGCATGGTGACCAATAGTTTTAATACTTTCTGCTATGAGCATGGTGACCCATAGTTTTATTACTTTCTGCTATGAGCCTGATGACCAACAGTTTTAATACTTTCTGCTATGAGCCTGATGACCAATAGTTTTAATACTTTCTGCTATGAGCATGGTGACCAATAGTTTTAATACTTTCTGCTATGAGCATGGTGACCCAGAGTTTTATTACTTTCTGCTATGAGCCTGATGACCAATAGTTTTAATACTTTCTGCTATGAGCATGGTGACCCATAGTTTTAATACTTTCTGCTATGAGCATGGTGACCAATAGTTTTAATACTTTCTGGCATGAACCTGATGACCAATAGTTTTAATACTTTCTGGCATGAACCTGATGACCAATAGTTTTAATACTTTCTGCTACAAGGCCTGTCGACATGTACACTGTTCCATTACTTTCTAATATGACCCTTGAGACAAGTACACCATGTTTTTTGTTTGAATACTTACTGAAAAAACCCTAGAGACAAGTACACCATGCTTTTTGTTTCAATACTTACTGAAACAAGAGTGCACACTCTGAAATGTCTCGCCTACTATACTGACCATTGATTTTATGTTGATAGTCCTACATATAAAGTTTAACTACAAGTATCACATTAACATTTATGATCCAAGAAAATGAGGTCAAGGTCAGATAAACCAAGGTGGAAATACATGTACACCTTTAATACAATCATTCCATACACAGAATATAGATGACCTATTGCTTATAGTATAAAAGAAACAGACCAAACTGGCATGGAAATTCTATATTGAACAATGAACCATGAAAATGAAGTCAGTCAGATGAACCCTGCCAGACAGACATGTACACCTTAAAATCATTCCATGCATCAAATATAGTTGACCTATTGCTTAAAGTATCTAAGAAACAAAGTTAACCAGGAAAACTGAACATTGACCAATGAACCATGAAAATGAGGTGAAGGTTAGATGATACCTGCAAGACAGACATATACACCTTACAATCATTCCATACACCAAATATAGATGACCTATTGCTTAAAGTTTAAGAAAAATAGACCAAAACACAAAACTTAGCATAAGCAATGAAGCATGAAAATGAGGTCAAGGTCAAATAAAACCTGCCAGACTGACATGTACATCATAAAATATTTCCATACACCAAATATAGGTGACCTACTGCATACAGTATTAGAAAAATAGACCAAAACACAAAAACTTAATATTGAGCAATGAACCATGAAAATGAGGTCAAGGTCAAATAAATCCTGCCAGTTGGACATGTACATCGTAAAATATTTCCATACACCAAATAGTTGACCTACATTTTGTACTTCATACAGTATAAGAAAAACAGACCAAAACACAACAACTTAACATTAAGCAATGAACCATGAAAATGAGGTCAAGGTCAAATAAAACCTGCCAGACTGACATGTACATTGTTAAATATTTCCATACACCAAATATAGTTGACCTACTGCATACAGTATTAGAAAAACAGACCAAAACATAAAAACACTTAACACTGAGCAACGAACTGTGAAAATAAGGTCAAGGTCAAATAAAACCTGCCAGACTGACATGTACATCATAAATTATTTCCATACACTAAATAAAGTTGACCTACTGCATACAGTATTAGAAAAATAGACCAAAACACAAAAACTTAACATTGAGCAATGAACCATGAAAATGAGTTCAAGGTTAAATAAAACCTGCCAGACTGACATGCACATCGTAAAATATTTCCATACACCAAATATAGTTGACCTATTGTATACAGTATTAGAAAAACAGACAAAAACACAAAACTAAACTATTACCACTGAACCATAAAAATGAGGTCAAGGTCAGATGACACCTGCCAGTTGGACATGTACACCTTACAATCATTACATACACCAAATATAGTAGACCTATTGCTTATAGTAACTGAGATATGGACTTGACCACAAAAACTTAACCTTGTTCACTGATCCATGAAATGAGGTTTAGGTCAAGTGAAAACTGTTTGAAAGACATGAGGACCTTGCAAGGTACACACATACCAAATATAGTTATCCTATCACTCATAATAAGAGAGAAATTAACATTACAAAAAATCTGAACTTTTATTTCAAGTAGTCACTGAACCATGAAAATGAGTTCAAGGACAATAGACACATGACAGAAGGAAACTTCATATCATAAGGCATCTATATACAAAGTATGAAGCATCCAAGCCTTCTACCTTCTGAAATATTAGGCTTCTAAGAAGTAAGTAAATGCTGCCACCGCCGCCAGATCACTATCCCTATGTCGAGCTTTCTGCAACAAAAGTTGCAGGCTCGACAAAAACCCTGGAGACAAGTACACCATGCTTTTTGTTTTGTTTCAATACTTACTGATATGACCCTGGAGACTAGTTCACCATGTTTTTTGTTTCAATACTTACTGATAGGATCCTGGTGACAGATACCATGACACTGGTTCTACCTCTTGCCATTTTTTGTCATCCACAAAACTCATCAGTTCATCTTCTTTTCTGCCACTTTTGTACTGTCTGAATTCTCCATCTTTTATACTAAAATTCAGAAAATGTATTGCATTTTGGAAATGTAATCATTCTGTCAATACCTGACTGGACAAAAATTAATTTGTTTTTGTTCTCTATACATAATGCTTTCTTTACATTTTTTAATTGTCTATTTAATATCCTTCAACAACCATTAAAATTGATTTAAAACGTTAAAAATGTCTTGCTTAAAATGTTTATCTATAAATATGATAAAAAATTTTATCAGCTAATTTTAGTAACAGAAAACTTAAGTCCTATAACAAACTGCTCTGCGTTAAATGCTGTAACCTGTATACAATGAACTTTGCTACATTCTTTTGAATAGTTAGCATATCAACATGTTTTTCATATTTATGACATGTGTATAAAGGTAGCGTAACAGGTCATTTTCACATTGTTTTAGAGTTTTGTGGCTTTTGCCATTAGTATGATGATGCAAAATAAAGCAATACAACCCAAAAAGGCATATGTTTTGAGGGCTTGATCGTCACATGACATCAACTTAAAGCTATCAAATGATAGACATATCAAAGATTAGTGACAGGTGGATACAGATGCAAGAATTCAGTTGGAAGGGTATGACACTTACATTTTTCAAATGAGATTGAGGTTTTTTTGACATTGTAATATTTATCTATATAGATAATAGGTTTTTTTTAATACTTAAAGACTAAACTGAGTAGTGAGGTAACTCAATACCAAATCACATTAATAAGGTCATTCATGATAGGGTCTAGGTTCACTTACTGATAAATGGTGGGTAATGCAGCTACAAGGAATCTGCCACTCAAACCTGGAAAAAACATATCTGTTTAATAAAAGAATGTTCTTTGCTACAATAGCAATTAATACTGTTGAAAACTGATGAATGTTACAGCCTGGAATTCTACCATTACTTTCAAATAGAATAGATGTAAAATGTCAGTAAATTTAAATACATTTATGAAAAATATGAAATAAGCTACTTAAAAGAAGGTGGTCTTGATTCATGTACTAATACTGGCAGGCACCTTTTGGTCTATAGATCTCAATCAAATTGGATGTTGTCTCAGTAGTTTTCAAAGGCAGACAAATAAACTGACATAACATAAGCACAACGTGACTATTAAATACATACATTGTATCACTTAATCCATACCAAATTACTCCTTAATCCATATGTAGCAGCTGTTGTGCTATAAGTCCTTTACATTTATGAAATGTTCACAAATAACAAGGCAATGTATTAACATCTAACCTGGATTTTCTGTTACATCTACAACTCCAACATTGATGTCCAGATCACGACTCCAGTCAGCTAATTTACTCCAAGTCTCAGAAAACTGTCTACAAGCAGGACACCATGGAGCCATACTGCATCAATAAAAAAACAGAAAGTATATTCAAACATGTAATTGTTACCAGGCAAAAAGTGAACATCTGAATGGGGTTAATTTTTCAGAGGGGAGCTTAAAGTTATTCTGATTGTTCAATTCATCATTTGTCCAAGTAGTCATATAATAACTCTTAGTTGAAATGTTTCTAGAATAAAGTATTTGATTTCATACATTATTAACTCTGGTAAAATATGATAATTCTTTACAATTTAATTGGTAAAATAATAAACACTCCTTTAACAGACTATATTTTTCAACACGGTTACACCTATTATAAATCTGTTTAATGAAATAAAGCTAAATTTCCAGAGGTACTTTGTAAATGGTACTATATACCTTACTTATCATCTTTTAAGTCTTGCAATGTTCTCTATTAGGCATTTAAGAATCTAGGTACAGAGCATTTACCTTGGTTATATCTGACATCAGTTTCTCTAAGCAGGCTCAGGTTTAAAAACAATTTTTTTATACTGATGCCACAATAAATTAATTGAAGACATCTTTAGATCACAGATGTATCTTATTCACAGTTTTCAAGAACTTGTGATACACAGCTTGATTTAGATTTTTTTATATTTTATCAAGTTTTCTCTATCTACAATGTAAATATGACCTGCACAGCCTGGGAATTGTATACATGTATGTTCGATTAGCCAACTATACATGTATTTGAATTTTTATAGTTGTTTTTCAATGCATGCATTTGCCAAGGTTCAAAGAGATTATATCTCTTACCAAGTATCTATATCCTGAGTCAATAAAGGAAATAGTCCAACCCAATAACATGTTCAATCTCCAAATGTTTCAGAGTATTTTGCCTTTTTTTTTTTTAAATTCTTTTGTTTTAATTTTGTGAATACCATGTACATAAAATATGAATAAATAAGAATAATTGTGCACTGTCTGTAGCTATTTATGCAGTTTATTTTCAAGATTAGGTTTCCATATATTGTGTTCTACAAAAAAACCTATAGATATATATATGTGGCATTAAATGTTTACATGTAGCTGCCATGCATGAAATGTATCATCATCGCTAGAAAATTTGAATAGATTTGGTACAATGTACATTATGTATTTCACTTTACATACTTATGAAGAAATCTGCAAATTCAGTGATCAGAATCAGAAATGGCATCTGGCAGACATTCATTTTATCTGATTGAAACCAAATGAGAATGTTCTTTATAATCTTTATTATTATAAAGGATCTTTCTATAAATTTTTCCTGCAAATTGCAATGCAGTCTAGTAACATTTTTATAAGGTTGAGAAGATCATGAAAATGTGTCTTCTAATTGGCACAAATATACACTGTATGTCTTCCAACATGTCAAATAGAAATGTCATATATATATATATATCACCTAACAATTGTCTTCAATTTGAGAACAGAGATATGATGACGCAAATTAAATAAACAAATTATCTACTTATATCTATTATTCATTTAATCAATAATGTAATTACATGTATATGTTTAATTAATCTCTAAATAATTACAAGTACATTGTATTTAAGTTCTAGCTATATAGATCTTTTGCTTTCATATTAATCAATATTATTTTCAACAAACTAATTAAAATGAATTTAATAATACAGCATTTTTCATTACCTTTATATATTGTAAAACAATGTACCGGGAATGTGTGTTTTTATAGGGCTTATTTCATTTTGTAAACTTGCAGTTCACTTTTCTTCAATTTACCTGGTCAGTTACCCATCATTTTCCTAGTAGAGGAAAGATCTGTACATTTATCGGTATATCAAATATTATACAAAAACTAATGTCAATAAAAAAATACAGAAATGTGGTATGATTGCAAATGAGAAACTTTCCACAAAAGACCTAAGGGCAAGGTTTTATATACATTGTATGACAATTGCAAGGTGCATTAAAATTAGTTGAAATAAAACAGTTTGGTTGTGTTTTTTAAATGTTTCCAAGAATTTCTTAAATCATTTTTTTGTATTTTGTAAGATCTGTTGTTAATAATCAATATTTAAACTGCTTAAATTTTTAACTAGAGACTCTAAAGAGTCTATCTGTACCACTCATCTTTAATGTTATTATTGTATGTACATGAACATGTATGTGTATGTGGTCAAATCAGAAATTTGCTCTGGACTCAGAATCACAAAAGGGATTACAAGAAGTCAATTAAGATAAGAAACAAATATTTGACCTTTATCAAAATGTTGCATATATTGTTTTCTTCCAGTCAATATATAGGTTACCAAAATTGGCTAAATCCCAGACCCTTGTACAAATATAAAAAAGTCAAGCATCTGACATGAAATTGTGACAGAAAAATGTGAGCGAGAGTCTACAAAATGGAGACAATGTTTATTCACTTTTTTTTGCAACCATTCAAAACCACTGTTAATAAAAAAAAATAAAAGCGAGGTAAAAACAATTCCATCATTCAGATCATTACTTACATGGATCACCCTTATAGCTAATGAAAGCTGAGGTCATAACTAAGTCTCAGAAAAGATGTTAATGTCATAGTTGATGTTTTTTTGGCCACAAAATTAAATATAATTAAGTATAATCATCCTTTGCTATTATACATGTATCTATGCAGTAAGCAACCTGGCCGTCAGCGGTCTATCCTGCCACATTTTTGTAATGTTAGGTCTCAGTAGGATTGTACTTGTTCTTATTGGTGGGGCAAGATGTTCTGAATTATTTTCAAAGTAGGGACGAGTTGATGGAAAATAGGGTTTGGCGAGTACATTTTTTTTATGTAACTGAGTTCTGCTACTACAATACATGCAATATTCAAAGGCAGCAACTTTTCTGGATACCTCAATGCTCATGAGATTTTTACCTTAGAAAACAGGGATCTCCTGTAGTTGGTGATCGCAATACTGGTATACCAGTATTGTCCACAATACTGGTATACCAGTATTGTCCACAATACTGGTATAAAAATTTTGTACCAGTATTGTAATTTTTTTTTAAAAAACAGCAATACTGGTACATTACTGATATACCAGTATTGTAGTTGTATTGTTCACTATACTTTAAGGTGTATAATGAAAAATGAATTTTAAGCAAAATTAGATATTGAAGATCAAAAGGAGATTAAATGAACTCAAAAAGATTATAGAGGATAATTGTGAAATCAAACAACCAGTTAAAAATAATTACTATAATTGTACAAATAAACAAAAGATTATTGTAATTAAATCATCTTATTCAAACAATTGTTAATTATATAAATAGTTGCTAATAATTTTATCATATTTCTATATTTTATTCAATTCAATTTAGATAAAATAAAATAAAAGCTTTATTATCTGAGTTATTATTTAATAAATTCAAGCAAATTATTACACTATAACACTGTAAATTCAGCATTTACATGTATGCCATCGTATATTTTTTACAGATATTTTAATACATGTACAATGTATACTAAGATTCTAAGCATTTGTTTGTGTTTATTTTCTTATCAATCTTTCACAATAAACATGATAAAAGATATCAATAGATATAGGAAGATGTGGTATGAGTGCCAATGAGACAACTCTCCATCCAAGTTACAATTTATAAAAGTAAACCATTATAGGTCAAGGTACGGCCTTCAACGCGGAGCATTGGCTCACACCTAACAGCAAGCTATAAAGGGCCCCAAAAAATTACTAGTGTAAAACCATTCAAACGGAAAATCAATATCCATTAAACATAAAAAGTTGCTTAATAGGGGAACCTGATTATAATCAAATTAACTACTTTTACTAGTTTTGTCTAGTTAAAGCAGTTGATTCAGAACCATGGGCAATACAATTTGTAGCAGATATATCTTCTGGTACAAATACTCAAATACTAATACTAGACAAGCACTCCTACAGTAAGAGAGCCATACAGGTGCTATCTAAACAAGCTTGTAATATAGCAAGCGTAAGAGAAAGTCCACAGACTGAATACATAAATATCAATATAGGAAGTGGGGATTGTAGAAATGCCATCTGAAGAAGAAATAAACAATACCAATGCTGATGATACAGAAGCTATAACAGCATTAATGTCAATATAAAATTCACTAAAATATACTATTGAGACTTGGAAAGAGAGAGCTGGAAGAAAACATAGAAGAAAGTAAAGAGTTTGTTAAAATGCTGAGACAGTACCGTTCCCTTAAGAAAAAAACATCAGAAGATTTAAAACTTTCTTTGATTACAATCACAGTGTACCATCAATGGCATCATCAGTTAAACATACAATCATTCCATATAAAATTGTCATGTCATATGTTAATATCATTATGCATATATATGTGACACCTTTAATAAAAGATTAATTACCTATATATGTATTGTTTATTTTAAAAAAACACAATACTGGGACAATACTGGAATACAATACTGGTACAAAATTTTTATACCAGTATTGTGCACAATACTAGTATACCAGTATTGCGATCACCAACTACAGGAGATCCGAAAACAGTTATCATCTAATTTATCAATAAATATTTTGGCAGTAATTCAAGATTGATAAATTTAGTTATCCGTTAGCCTATTCCAGAAATAGTCCCCCACCCTCTGGAAGACTATTGAATTTTTCCCAGATTATTTAAGAAATTAAGTGTCAAGAAAAAAATTTGGTTAGCCAAATAGCAAATAGGTGGAGACATTTTTGCCTGAAAATCATTCCTTGGAAAAAAAATTGATTTTGCATGTCTTCCATAAGGCATGTATATGTGGCATACATATACATATGCAAAGTAAAAGTAAGTGGTCCCAACCGGTGAATTATGAATAAAATTGTTTGTACGTCAAACTTACAACTCCAGCATCCATTCCCCTTCTAAAACCGTTTGCCAATTTTCATCAGTAATTGTTGTTACGGACTTCCCGAGTCCAAGACAAACAGGGAACATAAATAAAATGCTTAAACATGCAAATGTTCTCATGGTGCGTATCGAAATTCTCAAACAGGAAGTAAATTGAGGAAGTCCAAGATCTAAAATAACATCTACGGCCCTTCCTCAGAACCATATATAGTACTAATATACCATCCTTCCAACAAAGAAAACTAACATTTCGAATTAATAATCATATTGATTTATATATTAGGTTGTGTGTTTTGTAAAAAAAATAAGGTGAAATTTGGGATATTGTATTACAGCTTGTAGCAGTTAAATACGGATCAAACGGACATATTTTGTTGATTACAGAGTTGCATCCCTTGCAAAGGTTTATTGTTAATATTTGAGGTAAATAGATATATAAAGAGTCTTTTTGGATCAATGTTACAGCTTTTAACTTGAGGAAAGATTTTAAGACAGCTACAGTTAAAACAATGGCTGCTCTTCAGGTGCTCTGTCACATTTTGACAACCAGATAATCATGACTATCACAGACACAGATTGGGGAAGATCCTCATAAATCAAATGGGTATTTATACTATTTTCCCCACTAAAAGGTAATATACATGTATAATACCTAAAATCAGGTATCAGTAATAAAAAATCACTAGGTGACCGTATTAAAAATGAATATGTGTTGATTTAAAAAAAAATATATCCTGTTAGTGTTTATTGTTAAATTTAGTTTTAAGCTGAACGGGTAATTGTTGTATCCTGTCACAGTGTGTACGTTTTATGTTGGGGAAAAGTACCCATGGTGTAATAAAAGTTATTAAAGGTACCCAGGAAAACTCCCAATCTTTAAAACGTACTAAGATGAAATAATCTGCAATTGATTTAGGAATCTTTTGGTTAGTTGATGATGCTGAACCCGCATTACACTACATGTGTGAGCCAGAATTTGTTCCTGTGAAAAAAGTTTCAGTGGAATAAATATCACAGGAAATATATTCTGGGAGAACTTTTTCACAGATAATTTTTATATAATATGTTCCATCTCTATTCATGCTATTTAATAAGTTCCACAATTTACATTGTGAAATAAGTTCTTGGTTTGTGAAATTTGTTCCTTACCTGGTGAAATAAGTTCTTGGTTTGTGAAATTTGTTCCTTACCTGGTGAAATAAGTTCTGGGTTTGTGAGAATTGTTCCTCACCTGGTGAAATAAGTTCTGGGTTTGTGAGAATTGTTCCTTACCTGGTGAAATATGTTCCACTAGTTATGCAAGTTATCTTTGATACTGAGCATTGTCATCAGTGAGTTTAAAGTTATCATTCAAGTACATTATAAAAACGTGACATCCATTTTCTCTGAACAAGTACACATTTTTGTTTAGGGGCCAGCTGAAGCCTGCCTCCGGGGGTGGGATTTTCACGCTGTGTTGAACATGTTGAAGACCCATTGGTGGCCTTGGGCTGTTTTCTGCTCTTTGGTCGGGTTTTTGTCTCTTAAAGTCTTTGACACATTCCCCGTTTCTATTCTCAATTTTATTATATTGATAATGTAATAAATAAAAAGTGTAAACATCCAATATGGAGCCTGTGGAGTAGAGCAAAATTTTTAATCATATTTATTATTATCTATGTACAAGATATATGCTGACTTGCATGTAATTTGAATATCTAAAAGATTTACCATATGTTGAATGTTCTTGTGTTGTTTAAAGACTTCAATGATGAATATTAGATTTGTCAGGTACAACTATGGAATGTTATGCTTGATATAAGGTGAATGCATCACGTTAAATTATAACACCCATGACAGTTAACAGGAAACAAGGATGAATACCACATAAAACATTAACAAATACAAATTATAATACATTACCATCGCTTTTATTTCTATTCTTCATTCTAGAGTTGCAGTCATGCCTTCAATTGCAATTGTACCCCATGCAAGCTCATTACAGCATCCTGCTTGCATTATCATTTAAGTGTACAAGAAAATGTTCCGCTGTAAGATATGTTGCAAAGGAACTTATTTTCTGTGAAATAGGTTTGAGCGGAACTTATTCATTGATTTCTATGAAATAAATTCATTAGAAACGTATATCACAGGAAAGTATTTCCCTTTTTATACCCCACGCAACGAGTTGCGGAGGGTATAATGTTTTTGACCCGTCCGTCTGTCTGTCCGTCCGTCTGTCTGTCCCTCCGTCAGTCCTGTTTCTTGTCATCGCAACTCCTCTCAAACCACACAACAGAATTTCACGAAACTTTTTTAGATAATAAGGACATACTACAATGTATGAAGTTGTGCATATCGACAGAAAATTAAGATTCAATTATTTTTCTAGGAGTTACGCCCCTTTGAACTTATTTACTTTAATGTACTACTGCAACAGTTTGTCATTGCAACTCCTCTCAAACCACACAACAGAATTTCATGAAACCTTTTCAGATAATAAGGACATACTACGTAGATGTGCATATCGACAGGAAATTACGATTCAATTTTTTTTCCAGGAGTTACGCCCCTTTGAACTTATTTGCCCAATATACTACTGCAACCTTTTGTCATCGCAACTCCTCTCAAACCACACAACAGAACTTCATGAAACTGTGTAGATAATAAGGACATACTATGTAGATGTGCATATTGACAGGAAATTATGATTCAATTTTATTTTCTGATACAATTTTTTTTTCTTACACTTATTTTATTTCTCCAATGACAATGTGGGGATGTGGGGTATGTGAGCGCGCTCACTAAGGTTCTTTCATTTTAAACATTTAAAATGTTTAATAAATGGAACAAAATTCATGGAGTTGTGATTTTTGTTCTGGCACTTATTTCACATTTGGTCAAAAAATTAGTTCCCAAACAAATTTTACAGTGCTTGAACATATTTCCTTATAATATATATTCCGGGTATAAATTTTCTGTGATATCAAATTTGGTGGAACATATTTCTTATGAATTAAGTTCCAGCAGAGCAAATGTCATGCCAGAATTTTTTGTTTGTTTCACATGCACTTGCATTTTCATCATTATGGCAGTGTTAACAAAAGTAAAAGAAAATTATTTAAAGGCTTACTGGATTTAATAGAAAATTATAAATATGCCGAATTTTTCTGTGTATTTTTATTCTTACCAAGTTACCCTGGATACCATTACAAGACTAGATATGAACAATGCCCCTCCCCCTTTCTGCTCTGCCATATGCATGAGTATAGTTCCACATATTTTAGATTTGACAAACAGTGGTGTTGGCATACAACATGAAATTGTTACGCTGTCTGTAAGACACAAATGATCCCCTCGCCTGACCATAGGAAATTATAAATTTAACACTATGTATGATGATGTAACTGAAGGAGGAGATAGCCGGACAAACCATGATCTCTTTATGCAGCTAGTACCAAAAAAATTACCAAGTCCAACTACCTGTCATTTTCACAATATTTGAAAAAAATCAAAATCCTGTGGCCATGCACACCTTCATTATGTGTATGAACATCCTACAAAATATTGAAGTTGTACCTCCAAAACCGAGGAGAAAGGTGGACAAACAATGTATCCTTATCCGGTCGGACATTTTGTAGCGGGGCATAAAAAGAAATAAATGTGGGTACCATTTGTTAAGGGCACTTTCTTATGGTTCCCTAGACAACAATGACCTGTTTAGCTTTAGTTAGATATGTTAGAATTAAACAGGTTGAACCCAATCACCCAAATAGGTTATAATATTCCATTTAGGCTAAAAATTTACTGTGCAAAAAGATTTTGGGAGATTCAAGGGAAAATATTTCAAAGCGCAAATGATTACATTAAAGGCAACAACTTTTTGTAACAAGTTTTCTGAATACCTGCGGCTCTTTTCACAAAAAATCTTAAAAGTAAAAATACTCGTAAGTCATACACATTTCAGTATAACTTACGATCAATTTTAATCGTAAGATTTTTTGTGAAAAGAGTCGCTGGATGTTATGAGTTTGATCCTCAGCTGGAAGATGCTGTTTTTAGTGGGATCAATCTAGCAACTACTCTTTTTCTTGAAAAGTTGCTAACCAAAAGTATCTTCAAATGTACTATTGACCTAAACAAATGCACGTTTCAAATTTTGCTAAACTACAGTAAATTTATATCCATTTTGACTGTAATAAATATACCCTAAATACCCTAAATAGGTTATTATAGGATTTTTTACCTTAAGGCAAGTCAAACAATGAGAAGATGAAATTTTTTTTTGCTATTCATTTATTATTTCAGCCCTCATGACTAAATAGAAAAAGTTTTAAAAATGGATAAAACTCGTTGATAAGACATTAATTAGACTACATGTATCTTAAATTTAAGAGTGTCCACTTGTTATAAAAAAGTTTTTTTATGGTATACCATTGTCAAGATTGATTGAGAGGAGGGACAACATTGTATATTTAGTGTGGTTTCTCAAGTTTTACATGGTTTAAGATATACACTTTTTGATATAAATGTCACAGTACGTAATATAAAATATAAAATGCACGAGGTTCCAGATGATATTTCAGTCATGGTGTCTTGGAGAAAAATGTTACCTTTTACATTTTTACATGAATGTTTGCACCATGACAGTAAATCAAGGTTTAATTTTTATCACTGTAAATTGATACCTGTTATGGGATATAATAAAATTGAGAATGGAAACAGGGAATGCGTCAAAGAGAAAAAAACCTGACCAAAGAGCAGAAAACAGCCTAAGGCCACCAATGGGTCATCAATACAGTGAGAATTCATGGAATTCTAGATTATGAAAAAAAAAATGAAAACTTTTGTAAATATTTTTTGTATCCACAGTTTTGTGTTCAAATCAATTTGGCTTAACTTTACTAGATGAGAAAATCAGGCTGCTTGGAGCATCTAAATTAATATTCTCATCTGGTAAATAACTTATTTCTTGAAACCCCAATCTTCAGTATCAAGTTCGTATAAAAAGTCAGAATAGTGTGTCACAATTGTGTTACATGTCTTCCAGCAGACTAATACAAGTAAACACATGGAAAATTCTTACTTATGTTATTCAATATACCATTGTACATGTATCAGAGAAAAAAAGTGGAGGGCTTCATGACCCAATGGTCTGTTATGAAGTAGTTTAAAAAAACCCAGAAATATTGATATTTAAAAATTACTTAAGGAATGACTGTAATATTTTTATGCCACCGCCGTACCGGAGGGGGCATTAAGTTTTACCCTTGTCCGTCTGTACGTACGTACGTCCGTCCGTCCGTACGTCCCGAAATTGGTTTCCGTTCTCTAACTTGAGTTTGCCTCAACCAAATGTTATGAAACTTATACACAATGCTTATTACCACAAAACACAGATCAAGTTTGAATTTTGGTGGCGTCACTTTAACCGATCTAGAGTTATGCCCCTTTATAAAAGGAAATATTGCAAAATTTTTAGTTTCCGTTCTCTAACTTAAGTTTGCCTCAACCAAATGTTATGAAACTTATACACAATGCTTATTACCACAAAACACAGATCAAGTTTGAATTTTGGTGGTGTCACTTTAACCGATCTAGAGTTATGCCCCTTTATAAAGGAAA